CTCTCTCTCTCTCTGGTGTTCTGCCTTTCAAACATAAATCTTGAAAAGTTAGCTCTGCTCAGCATTTTCAGCCTTTCGTCCTATCAGATGTTCTCTAGATTGGCTTAAAAAAGGATGACAGGGTCAGCTGTTTTCTGTTTATTCACACATTTACTTACTTGCTCTTACTCATCTGTGCAAGAAACAGATTGACTTATTTGAGTGGCAAGCAGAAACAAAGCTCTCAGGGCAATGCCTGTGGTGGGAACTGGGAGCTTAGCCCAGGTCTCCCCTGGATGCATCCCCAGCGTTTCCTAAGGTCTGGATTGTCAGAAAACTCAAGTCAGGAGCTGCAGTTGGGTGGTTTGGATATAGAATGTGGCATCATCATTGTTGTTTGCTCTTTTTTTTTTTAAGATTTATTTATTTTTATTACAAAGTCAGACATACAGAGAGGAAGAGAGACAGAGAGGAAGATCTTCTGTCCAATGATTCACTCCCCAAGTGAGCGCAACGGCCAGAGCTGCGTGGATCCGAAGCCAGGAACCAGAAACTTCTTCCAGGTCTCCCACACAGGTGCAGGGTCCCAAGGCTTTGGGCCATCCTCGACTGCTTTCCCAGGCCACAAGCAGGGAGCTGGATGGGAAGTGGAGCTGCCGGGGCATTAGAATCAGTGCCCGTATGGGATCCTGGTGCATTCAAGGCGAGGACTTTAGCCACTAGGCCACGCTGCCAGGCCCTATTGTTTACTCTTAAAAGGCAGAGAGAATCCGAGATAGGAAGTTAGTTGACTACAAGATGTCTACCCAGATGTCTACAAGAGCCGAAGCTGGGCCAGGCCAAAGCAGGAGTGCAGAGATTCCGCCCGGGTCTTCCACGTGAATGGCAGGAAGCAGGTGCTTGGGCTGTCATCTGCTGCTTCTCAGAGTCAGCAGTCAGCTGGAGCCCAAAGCAGAGCCAGGACTCCACCTGGGTACTCTGACATGGGATGCAAGCAGCACTGCCCCCTAAGCTGTGTCTCAACTGTTGGGCCAGATACCATCCTAGGCTCCTTAGTAATCATGCCCTGTGGTGATTGTGATTGCTGATGTCTGATGATGTGGTCAGTGGGCAGGCAGTGGAAAACGGGGAGGAGGAGAAGCCAGATGGGCTCTGCCTGCCCTTGGGAGATCGAGGGGAGTGTGTGATGAGAGGGCTAGTGCAGGGCTGAGGGGCACACTGCCCTCAGGCCTGGTCCTTTGTGCTTGCTGCAGCCTGTGGACAAAGCAGGGGCCCAGGCAGGGTGGCCTCCTGCCAGCATTCTGGAGTTCCAGGTGCCACAAAGGATCTGACCACCAGGAAGTCAGGGTCCTGGCATTCTTCTGGTGCTGACCTGCCAGAGTGAACTGTGCTTCAAACCCAGGCAGGTCTTGCCATCTGTGCAGGCTGACTCCTTCGTATGCACCCACTGGCTGTGTTCCTTTGCTCTGTGGGGTCTCTGCTTGTTTACCCCACACTGGCCAGAGCTGGACAACCCCCAGGATCAGCAAGGCCTCATGCCACAAAGTCCTCACACGCATGCCAGGGCTGCAGGGACGGGGAGCAGGTGGGGCAGCACTGCCCGATTTCAGAATGCTCGCGGTGCCTCTGTCTGTGTGATAGCTTCACAGTGGGAACGACAGCGAAGTGGCAGAGTGGCTCCTTAGGATGAGGCTGACTCCCAGGAGAGTCGGGCTCCTAGGGTCCTGGATTGTTGGCTTGGAAGTTTTCTGACGTATCATCCTCGTAAGACTTGGCACAGGGCAGGGGAGCCTTGGGTCATTGGTGTCTCACCAGTTTGGCTGCTCTGCATTCAGAACGAATGAGGCCTGGAGCTGAGCCTGTGGACACCGGATGCCCAGAGCTCTTAATGTGGTCCCAGCTCTTCAGACAGAGGCTTGGGCCTGGGTGGGCTGGTAGTTCCAGGGACAGAGGTGGGATTGGGTCAAGGAGTCTGGAAGTGAGAGCTGATAGCGGGCCCCAGGATGAGTAGACACTTTCCTGTTAGGAAGTTGTTGTCCATCACAGGTCAGATACTGGATGGCGAGTTGCGGCTTTTAGTTGCACATGTGGTGTGCAGCCCTGGGCTGGGCTGGCAGCTACAGGCTCTTGCAGGAGGAAATGGTCGGAGTCTCCTGCAGGCCCCACAGCCATGATAAAATCTGAGCTCCTTGGTATGAGTGTGTTCACTTCCTGGAGCTGCCCTCACCAGACCACAGGCTGAGACACTCTGAGACGGGTTGATCTGCTCTGTCTTGGAGGCCAAAAACCCAGCTCTTCTGGGCTGGCAGGGCTGTGTGCCTGAGGCCCTCGGTGGAACCTTCTGGGGCCTCTCCCTTGGCATCTCTTGGCCACCCTTGGCTTGTCACACAGGCGTTTTCATGCCATCTTACCTCCATGCTTGTTTGTTTCCAAATTTCCCCTTTAGATACTATTTCTTTGGATTTGGGTATACCCTAAAGACCTCATGTAAGTTTGTTTAGTTTTGTTTAGTTGTTTTTGAAAGACAGAGTTACATAGTCTGAATTAGGGACAGACAGACAGACAGACATCTTCCGGCCACTGGTTTGCTTCCCAAATGGCCCCAACAGCCGGGGCTGGCCAGGCCAGAGCCTGGAGCCTAGAGCCTGTCCGTGCCTCCCACGTGAGTGGTGGTGCTCCAGCAGATGGGCTGTCTCCCACTGCCCTCCTGCAGGTGTAAGTAGGGAGCGGGATCAACATGGTGTGGCCAGGGACTGGTAAAGCAGTTAACAGTCATAGCAAGTGAAGCCACTGCTGGTGCTGTCAGCATCCTATGCAAACACCAGTTCCTGTCCTGGCTGCTCTCCTTCCTATCCGGCTTCCTGCTAATACACCTGGGAAGTACAGCCAAGGTCGGCCCAAGCATATGGGCCCCGGCTACCTGTTGCGTGCAGATCTGGAAAAGCTCCTGGCTCAGCTCGGCCATTGCGACCATCAGGGAGTGAACCAGCACATGGAAGACTCTCTGCCTCTCTGTCTGTCTTTCTTTTTTTTTTTTTTTTTTAAGATTTATTTTTATTATTATTTTTTTATTGGAAAGGCGGATATACAGAGAGGAGAGACAGAGAGGAAGATCTTCCGTCCGATAATTTACTCCCCAAGTGAGCGCAACGGCCGATACTATGCCGATCCAAAGCCAGGAGCCTCTTCCGGGTCTCCCACATGGGTGCAGGGTCCCAAAGCCTTGGGCCGTCCTCGACTGCTTTCCCGGGCCACAGGCAGGGAGCTAGAAGGGAAGCGGGGCTGCCGGGATAGAATCGGCGCCCATATGGGATCCTGGGCATGCAAGGTGAGGACCTTAACCACTGAGCCACCACGCCGGGCCCTCTCTGTCTGGACTTTCAAATAAATAGATAAATCTGTTTAAAAATAAGATGAAACAGGGCAAGAATAAAGCCAAAATGGAGCAGCCAGGACTGGTACTGACACTCATGGGTTATCGGTGTCACAGATGGCAGCTTCACCCTCTGTGCCACAGTATGACCCCCTCACCTAAGTTTGATTACTCAGCAGGGGACCCTTACACACGAGGTCAGATTCTTAGGAATTGAGGATAAGGGCTTCGACAGGTCTTACCTCGGGAGGCCTTCTGAAGGCCCTTTCAGCCTCAGCGTCAGTTCGTCCCTCTGACTTCCTGTCTACCTAGTTAGCAGTGAGAGCCAGGGGTCCAGTCCCCCTGCCGTCACTGGCACCGAGCTCTGGCTCAGGGAGGGGGCCTTGTCAGGAACCATGCAGAGCCCAGGTCAGCCCGGCAGGAGCATGGGGACCTGCAGCCACACCTGTGACACATTTTTTCTTTTCTTTCTTTCATTTTTTTGTTTTTTTTTAATGTTGAAAGGGTTTGTGAATTTTAAGGATTTGGCCTGCCCCTGTGGAAGAGGCGGTGAAGGGGCTAGAGGCTCGGACAGCGGCCCTGTCTGTGGGAGGACTCATCTCCCCACACAGTCTGGGCAGTACTCAGAGCAGCCTCTGGGGAAGCCCTGTGTCCCTGTGCTCTCGGCATTGGGTGGCTTAGGGAGTTAGTACACAGGAACCAGGAAGAGGCAGTGGCCGGGCCACTCCTGCTTGCAAAAAGAGGTCATCCCAGAGCACCTCCAGGTCCACCTAAACGCCGTCATCAGAATCAGTTTGCATCCTCCAGGTATCATGAGCTGACGGTGGTGCGGCTCAAAGTTGGGCATGAGTTTGGGAGTCAGCTCCAACTTTATGTTCTTCATTTTCCAGTCAGATTTGACTTTTCAGAGGACAGTGGCATGTAAGGGGAGAATTCAGCATGTCCACCCCAACACCCTGTGCGTGCTAGCAGCCTCTCGGCCATACCCAGATCCTATTGGTTTGTGTCTGTGACAGCAAGACAGCGGTCCCACAGTCCCTGTGGTGACCTGGTCCAGTGTCGCCTGCTCCTCTTGTCCTGCCTGCCTGTCCCAGATAGTCTTCCTTCTCACAGCTAGGGTCTCCCTAGTGTAGGTCCTCTTTACTCCTCGGAAGCTCCCATGGCAGGGGTCCTGTGGATTGCCCATCTTGCTGTAGTCTCAGCATTGAGTGATGCCTCCAAGATCCACTTCACTCTGTCACCTGCTATGTTTGGTTGGTCCTCAAGTGCGGTGGCTCCAGCACGGGAGCATCTTGCATGGTGTCTTCTCTACCTGTTGCTGCAGCCTTCGACCTGGCATCCTCTGGCCTTTGCAGCCTCCTCTGGCCTCTGCACCCCAGCCTCCCTCAGCCCCCGGAGCTCGTCTCTCAGGCCTGTCAGGACCCCTCCTTCACTTCCTTGCCTCTTCTCGTAGCACGTGCAACCTTAGTTCCAGTCTCCATGTAGACCTGTCCCCCATTGCAATACTTGTGGACCTGGATTGTGTCCCAGTGCACTGCAGCTGGGGGCCTTGGGTGTGGACCTTGATGAAAGTGTGCACATGTGTGTTCATGGCTGGGAATGCATGTGTGCCTACGAATCCTGATTTCTGTCTCTTTGTCCCCAACAGTGAGGGTTCCCTATTTTATTGACTTGAAAAAGCCACAGGACCAAGGTTTGAATCACACCTGTAATTACTACCTCCAGCCAGAGGAAGACGTGACTATTGGAGTGTGGTGAGTGTTGGCAGCCTGGCTGCCGTTTGCGTGGCCAGCTGGGTGGGCCTCTCTGGGAGGTGAGAGGGGGCCCGTGGACCAGCTGGGTGGGCCTCTCTGGGAGGTGAGAGGGGCCTGCTTGGTTCCCCTTCCCTGTTCCGCCTCCACAGGCGGGCCTCAGCTGCGCTTGAGTGCATGGCCCCAGCTCAGCAGCACCAGGCAGTCCTGAGGCTTCTGCAGCACAGGCTGTGTGAGTGGGCTCACTTCCAGCAAAGACAGAAAGCACGAGCTAGAGACAGTGGAAACCCTGAGTTAGTTAGGGTGTGTTTTTTTCTTTTAGTTAATTAATTTATTAAATTTGTATTGCAAAGTCAGATTTACAGAAAGAGAGATAATGATTTTCCATCCATTGATTCACTCCCCAAATGGCTGCAATACCCAGAGCTGAGCCAATCTGAAGCCAGGAGCCAGGAGCCTCTTTCAGGGTCTCCCACACAGGTGCAGGGTCCCAAGGCCTTGGGCTGTCCTCAGCTGCTTTCCCAGGCCACAAGCAGGGAGCTGGGTGGAAGTGGGGCTGTCGGGGATTAGAACCTGCGTCCATATGGGATCCCAGTGCATTTAAGGCGAGGACTTTAGCCCCTAGGCGACTGTATTGAGTCCTATATTTTCCTTTGGTGTTTCTTTTTTTATGTAAGAGGCAAAGATAGAGACAGCTGATGAGCAGTCCCCTGGTGCTTGCTCCCCAAACGCCTGCAGCTTCTGGGGTTATACAGGGCTGATGCCAGGGGCCTGGAACTAGGGCCAGATCTCACCTGGGGGTGGCAGAAGCCAGCTGCTTGAGCCGTCATCACCTGCTGCCTACTCGGTGTGACTGGCAGGAAGCCTGAGTCCTAAGACTTAGGTGGAATGTGGGCATCCAAGTGGTGCCCTGACCTTGTGCCACATGCCTGCTCTTTGGTGCTAAAACTAAACTGGGCTTAAGCCATGCAACGGCTCCATCTTGGAATGTGTTCATTTTTTTCTGTAGATAAGGGGCGTTTCTGGGCAGCTGCGTTGAGATCGGCCAACCTCACTGTGGCGTTTTGTTCCTTCAGCAGCAGTCCTGAAGCACCAGCTCTTTGCCTGGCTCACTTGAATTGTCAGCCTCTTCCACTGTCTTTACTTATTTTTACTTTTTAAGATTTATTTGTTTTTATTGGAAAGGCAGATACACAGAGGAGGAGAGTCAGAGAGGAAGATCTTCTGTCACTTGGTTCACCTCCCAAGTGACCGCAACGGCCGGAGCTGAGCCGATCTGAAGCCAGGAGCCAGGAGCTCTTACAGGTCTCCCATGTGGGTGTAGGGTCCCAAGGCTTTGGGCCATCATTGACTGCTTTCCCAGGTCACAAGCAGGGAGCTGGATGGGAAGTGGAGCTGCCGGGATTAGAACTGGCACCTATATGGGATCCTGGCACATGCAAGGCAAGGACCTTAACCACTATGCTATTGCGCCGGGCTCTCCATTGTCTTTAGTAAACAGTGAGCAGCAGGTTTCCTTGCCCTACCCTGCCCAGGGATGAGGGACCTCAGACATTTCCAGTAGTTGTCCGTGGTGAAGGGAGGGTTTTTGGTTTGCTTTTTCTTGGCAGCTGATGTGGAGGTTAGGCTCTTGCTGCTTTCTGTTCTCTCCAGCCCTGACCAGCTGGGGGGTGTTCTGTCCCACACGCGCTCAGAGGCGTCTGATGGGAGCTGGCTGCCTGTGTGCATGCGGCTCTGTCAGTTGCATTGCAGAGAGGGGCGTTTGGGGCAGTGGCACGGGCCGGAAGTGCTAACTAAGCTACATGAGCCATTAGTCACCAGAGAGTGTGACTTAAGATTAACGTGGCTGCTCAGTGAAGAGGGATTCAGGCAGCTGGGCTGGCAGCGCCCAAGAGTCTGGCCACATGTGGGACAGGCTGGGCTGCTGGGGAGCACACCTTCCAGGGCAGGGGAGCACACCTTATCATGCAGGGGAGCACACCTTACCGGGCAAAGGAGCACACCTTCCAGGGCAGGGGAGCACACCCAGTGCCAGGATAGAGTGTAGGCCGGCTCAGGGAATGAGGGCCAGCGAGGCAGGCAGGCTCCTGGCTCCCAGGATGGCACATGTAGCTGTAGCTGGTGCTGTTTGAAGCCAGCTGTGGGTTAGAGCAGACGCCCCAGGAGCAGGGGAAGGCTGAGGCCTGCTGCTGTCAAATGGCTTCCCATGCTGCAGTGCGGAGGTCCCTGCTGCTCCAGCTGGCTCACTTCTCTGAGCTTCCAGGGTCTACGGTGGCTGTGCCTCCCTCCTCAGCGGCTGATTCTAGCCTTGTGTGGGCGGGAGGGGACAGGGTGGTGCAGTTTGTCCTGCCCCCTGTCCATCTTCCTCGTGCCATTTCCATCCTGTGACTACTCTCGCCTCTTCCTCTCCTTCCAGGCACACCATCCCTGCCATCTGGTGGAAGAATGCCCAAGGCAAGGACCAGATGTGGTATGAGGACGCCTTGGCTTCCAGCCAGCCCATCATTCTGTACCTGCATGGGAACGCAGGGACCAGGTGAGGCTCAGGAGTCTGTTCACGGCCCCCGCAGAGCAGCTCCTCTCTTGGCAGTGGGCACATGCTGGACGGGAGAGGTAGCATTCCTGTGGGCCCACAGGCTCCTGGCCAGTCAGGACTGCACACCAGGGGCTGGCAGGTCTCTTCTGCAAGGCAGTCCTGGCTCTGCTTCCCTGGGGACCAGCATTACGTGAGGTGGGAGCTGCACCCAGGGACCCCTGTCTGGAGCTCACTTGGCCCCGGGTTGGAGGAGGCTGCATCCGGTGGTGATGGACCAGCGGGGGCTGCTCCCTTCTTCACACTCTAATGTTGGAGGTTGCAGAGTCTGCCAGATGTGGATTTGGAACAAGGTATCAGGGAGTGGAAATATGTGTCACAAAGTGGAGGGCTCGTGGTGACACTGGGCTGTAGCCAGCGTGCCCTTGGGGGAATGTCACCAGTTCACTGGCCCCTGGCTGTCTGCAACATTGGCAGCCAGGTCTGAGGAGCCACAGGCCGGTCGGTGTCAGCCTCAGTGTGTCCAGGGTGCAGGCTGGACAGCTCTAGGAGAGGAGGACTCCTTTGTGAAAACCAAGTGCGTTCTCAGAATGGGGAAGAATAGGAGGTGGTGGCTGGCCGGAGGCCCTGAGGGGCCAGGAGGTGCTCCGACTGAGTGCCCTCCGCTGCCCCTCCGTGTGTGCTGTCTGCTTCTGGCTGCACACTGCTGACTGTGGGTGAAGCATGGACTCCTGCCTGCCTTTATCCCAAAGCCATTCCTGGGTAGCTGGGCTCAACACTCCATCCCTCAGACAGCCATGAGCTGCAGCGTCCCTGCCTCAAGGCCCTTCAGGGTTCTTCCACACCGTGTAGTGTTTGCAAGGGCTGCTCTCCAGGAGTCTGGGGTCCATGGGGGGAGGCGGGTGCGTGGGTTGTGTGCTCTCCGAGCAGAGCTGTCTTTGAAAAGCACCAGGTCGCTCTTCTGTGCAGGGGCAGGCCCGAGCAGAAAGACACGTCCGGCACTGGACTGCGGGACAGATGCTTTGCACATAGGGTCAGCCAGGAGAACAGTGCCTGGTCCTGTAAGGAGGTGGGTGTCTGTGTGGCCGAGCTTTGTAGGGGGAATTGGGGGCCCAGGAGGAGGCTCTGTGTGCCAGGAGCGAGGACCACAGCACTGGGTCACAGCTGTATGGTACAGGGGGTCCCTTGGGGGGCCCAGGAAGAGGTCCTGGGTGCCAGAAGCGAGGACCTCGGCAGAGTCACCCTCTGTGTGGTGCAGGGGGTCCCTTGGGGGCCCAGCAAGAGGCCCTGTGTGCCAGAAGCGAGGACCTCAGCAGAGTCACACGTGAACAGTTGACCTTCACCATCTGGGACAGAATACGATGGTTTCTCTTCTGCTTCTTGTAGAACGCGTGACTGCAAGCAGCTCCTTCCTATAAATAAAAAAGCCATGGTTAACCTAAGTTCTCTCTTGCAATTTCAGTCACATGGCGATAAACAAAGGCCACCTTCCAGTTCAGGTTTGTGCATTCAGCAATTCTCAGAGGTTTGCGGTCCTCTTGTGTTCTTGGTTTTTGTTTTTGTTTTCCTCTTTTTAAAGAGTCATTAATTTATTTGAAAGACAGAGGTATGGAAAGAGAAAGGGAGACTGAGAGATCTTGTGTCAGCATTTCGCTCAAATGGCCACAATGAGTGTGGCTGGGACAGGCTGAAGCCAGGAGCTTCTTCCAGGTCTCCCATGTGGTTGCAGCAGCCCAAGTTCTTGTGTCATCTCCATTCAGTTCCTTTCCTGGGTCCTGAGAATCATTAGACAGGGTAAAGAACAGAGATTAGATTACAGAAAAAGATAGGACACAGGGAAGAGGCGACGACGGCAGAGCGGTGTTACAGGGAACAGAAAGCCCACCAGCCACTGGTGAGCTGTGATCCGGACTCCAGCAACAGCCAGGGATCCAGTGGTGGCCACAGATCAGCCCTTGGGGCAGCCAGGTGGGGATCCAGTGGTGGCCACAGATCAGCCCTTGGGGCAGCCAAGTGGGAGCTTGGGTTCTCACGGGGAGCTCGGGAGATGAAGACAGGCTGATACTGGCCAATCCTGCTGAATACTTTGGCCCAGCAACAAATAAAAAGGGAGCTGCAGACTCCTCAGGGCCGACTGGCATCGGATTGTAGCAAACAGCACAGGGATCAAATGCCGGAGTGGGCACGTTTGTTTCCGGCTAGTCATACTGGGCTGATCCCATGGGGAGGACAGCGCCAGCTTCGAATCCTGCAGGATCTGTGTGATCCCTGGATCTGAAGGCCAACAGCCCCGGCTCTCAGGCAGTGCTCCACCGGGCGCCATCTTGTGTGTCTAGACAAGATCAGTGCCGCCAATAAACCAGTTATCTGGGACAGTTGGCGTCTTCCTAACCCAGGACACTGATTGAACGTAAAAATTGATGTGTACAACCGTAATACATCTTAGAAATCTGCATGACAGAGAAGAATCCGGAAAACAGGATTGCAATGTCAGAAGTTAAAAGAAGAGACAGAGGCACAATGAATGTTACCGAAGACTCCCTGGTAAAGGACCAAAAGCCTCTAACCCCCTCAGAGTTAACTGAGGAAGACATCGAAAAGATGGGGGACACAGAATTCAGAAAACTAACTAAAAAGCTTCTGACCAACAATGAGAAGCACATACTACAAGAGCTCCAAGAATTTTTTTTTAAAGATTTATTTTTATTATTTTTTTATTGGAAAGGCAGATATACAGAGAGGAGAGACAGAGAGGAAGATCTTCCGTCCAATGATTTCACTCCCCAAGTGAGCGCAACGGGCCGATACTATGCCGATCCGAAGCCAGGAGCCTCTTCCGGGTCTCCCACGCGGGTGCAGGTTCCCAAAGCCTTGGGCCGTCCTCGACTGCTTTCCCAGGCCACAGGCAGGGAGCTGGAAGGGAAGCGGGGCTGCTGGGATTAGAACCGGCGCCCATATGGGATCCGGGGCGTGCAAGGCGAGGACCTTTAACCACTTGCGCCACCGCGCCGGGCCCAAGAGCTCCAAGAATTTAAAGAATTTGTCACACAGGAAATGAATCAAATGAAAGCTGACATTTCAGACGTTAAGGTTCTAATCCCGGCAGCTACACTTCCCATCCACCTCCCTAATTGCGGCCTGGGAAAGCAGTTGAGGACGGCCCAAAGCATTGGGACCCTGCACCTCCATGGGAGACCCGGAAAGAAGTTCCTGGCTCCTGGCTTCAGATCGGTTCAGCTCCAGCCCTTGTGGCCACTTGGGGAGTGAATCATCGGATGGAGAATCTTCCTTTCTGGCTCTCCTCCTCTCTGTACATCTGCCTTTCCGATAAAAATAAATAAATCTAAAAAAAAATGAAGAAGAAAAAGTGGAACGGTGAATACGTGAATACTTGAGCCGGTACATGGGATGCTGACATTGCAGAGAGCAGCTGAACCTGCTGTGTCAGTGCCGGCCCCCTGTCTCTCTTGGACCTGGCTTTGCCCACCACTCTCTCTGGCCTCCCTGACCCCACTGAGTGTGTGTGAAGCCCTTCCAGCATCGCAGCTTCCGAGTCTCCCTGGGATCAGATCTTCGGCTCTCAACCCCTCATCTGTTCCCCCTGCCTGGAAGCTCTTGTTTCATGTCTTGTTCTCTGTGGGGGAGGGGTTTCCCATTTCATCTCATCCTCATCTCCTTGTGGAGGATGGAAACCCCCCCCCCCCAAGAGCTGTGGAGCAGGTGGGCCCATCAGCCTGTCTTCTGAGGTTTATCAGCAGTGGCAGCAGGCTGATGGGCAGAAAACAGGACAGAGGAAATGGACAGAGGTGTGAATGATGGGGCAGGCTTGAGCGTGCAGTCAGCCCTCGGTGTGCCTGTGAGAGGCTGGGAGACGCCTGCGTTCCCACTCTCTGTTGCCTTGGCAGTGTTGGCATCTGTGTCCAGGACAGGAGCGCCGTGTGGAGGGAGGCCAGCCCTGGCTGGTTAGCAGCAGTGGGGAGAGCCAAGGCGGTCCTCGATAAGGGCGGGAACAGAGACCTGCCCGTCAGCTCATGTGCAGGAGGTCAGGTGCAGGGCCTGCGCAGGTCCACGTGTGGGCACAGCTTCCAGCTGCGCAGTTGTCGCTGGATGCTGGGGAGCTGGGGAGAGGTTCAATGGCAGGGGCGTGCCCGTTCAGCTTTGGTGGTGTTTGAATTCGTCGCTATAGATCTTTCCCTTGGATGGGAAGGACTGCCACATGCCACATGTCACATGCCACATGCAGGGTGAGGCCAGCCAATCCCTCCCAGGGTGAGGTTTGGGGATTCAGGAGGCTCCTCGTCCACTTCCTGTTTCTTTCCTGTCTTCCAGGGGCGGCGACCACCGGGTAGAGCTGTACAAGGTGAGTTCTGCACGCGAGGAGTGGCCACCACAGCCGGTCACTCCGGCTCCTGAGAACAAACTGCTGTTGGCCTCTTCAGCCTGTGTGTGTGGATTACACAGATGTTCAGAATTGCCTGGCCCCTCGGGGAGAGGGGTACACACGCCAGCGGCATGTGCAGGCCTACACACGGCTTGGGGGTTTGAGGTCCCGATGAACCCTCAGAGTGGTGTCCCAGGACCCCCACTCGCCCACCTGCTGCTGTCCCTCCAAGGGGCTGCAGTGGGTGCACTGTGTGGGTGTGAGTGGGTGGGTGGTTTCAGCTGGCTCTGGGACTGCTGGAGGAATTTATTTTAAAGATTTATTTATTCTTTTATTCAAAAGAAAAGGATATGTTCCATCTACTGGGTCACTTCCCCAGAAGGAGGCAACGGCTAGACTGTGAAGCCAGCGGCTTCCTCCAGGTCTCCCGCATGAGTGCAGGAATGTCCTCTGCTGCTTTTCCAGGTCATACACTGAGAGCTGGACTGGGAGTGAAGCAGCTGGGACACAAACCAGTGCTTGTATGGGATGCTGGCACTGCGGGCCAAGGCTTAGGCCACTATACCGTGGTTGTGGCCCTCAGATTTTCATTTTATTTTTAGTAACTGAAAAATTTCAACAAATCATTAAAAATATGAAAAATGTTGGGTTGCAAGACGTGTCCCCAGAGGGGTGCTCTTCCTGCTTGGGGCCCACCTTCATGCAGAGTGGGCAAAGCCTGCTGGTAGCACTTGGGAGCCACCCACCACAGAAGAGACCTGAGCAGAGCTGCTGCCTGGGGACCGCAGGAGCCTGTCCCCAAGCCCTCAGCCTCCAGCCAGCCCAGGGGGCAGCCTGTGCCGGGAGGCAGGCTCTTGCTGTGCAGTGCTGGGCTGAGTGGGCCCAGGCAAGACCCCTTGCAACTTAGCTGCTTGGACTCGCCACCAAAGCTGTTTCTCCTTGATGTTGCAGGTCCTGAGTTCCCTGGGGTATCATGTGGTCACCTTTGACTACCGAGGTGAGATCTCCCCCAAGTGTGTGAGCACACATCCACCCCTGCCCGCACCTCTGACCGGCTCAGAGCACACCCCGCAGCTTCCTTCTCGCCAGGCCAACCTCCTGTGCCCAGGGGAGGGGCAGGGCAGTGCGTCTCCTCTGAGTGGGTCCTGGGTGCAGGACTTCCTGACAGAGCCCCAGCTGTGGGTACCTGGGAGCCACTCCGGCAAGGGTGCCACTGGAACCTCAAGTCCCTCTCCAGTCTGTCCCCCAGCCTGCCTTCTTTCTTTCTGGAATGAAGCAGGCCAGCCGCTGAACAGATGGAGAAAGCAGAGTGTGACGTGCACTGGCAGCATTCAGCCGCGGTGCGAACAGTGAGCGTCCGTTGAAAAGGCTGTTACTTGCTGTAGCCTTCACTCAGGCCAGAGGCATGAAGGCTGCTTGGCCGTCCACCCTGACCTTGTGCAGGAGGACACTGCTGTGCGCTCCCCTGGATGTGAGGACAGAGATGAGGGCAGGTGGCGGTGCCATGCAGGGCTGTCCTGGTGTCCTCTCACTGCTATGTCCCCTGGCCACAGACCTAGCCTCTGCAGACGACCTTAGTGTGTTCTCTTGGTCAGAAAGCCAAAATCTGTTGCCACCTGAGCTGAAGTGGAGGTGGCAGGTGTTTCCACAGGAGGCTCTGGGAGCATCAAGTGTGCTGAGCTCCCCTGGAGTCTGTCTGCAGGCGGGTGTGGGGCCCCCTTGCCAGCTCCTGTGCCCATGTTTGTCCGCACACGTGTGCTCCATCCGCACCTTTCCTGGCTCTGTTCCTGCGTGTTGCTGCCTCCTTCCCTTCCTCCCTGCCTGTTCTGGCCTTCCTGCACCCCCTGTGGGCTTTGCTTATGCAGCATAACCAGCTTGTGGGATTTGTGCGGCTTTGGGGTCAATTCCCGATGACTCACTCGTGGCTGCTGAGCCGCCAGAAAGGCAGTTGCACTCGACCTTGACTGGGAGTGCCTGGAGGGCCTGCTGGAGAGAATCAGAGCCCCTTGGAGCCTCATGCCTCCTTCCTGCTTCCCCAGAGTGTCCCACAACCCCACTGCTCTTGCTGATCCTGGGGAGGGGGGGGTGGGGGAGGGGCTGCAGCCTTGGCCCCACCAGCCCAGTTTGTACATCTTGGCCATCCTGCCAGGCTGTCTGTGTTGAGCTGGATGCCCTAGTCCTGGCCCACGCAGGCAGGCAGGAGCCAGGGTGCTGGTGGTGGGCAAGCTCTGACAGGCAGGCAGGCGTCAGCGTTCCGTGACGGACTGTGCTGCCCCAGCCCTGCTGTTTCTCACTGGGCAGTTACAGCCCACCCACAGAGAGCGCCCAGAGGAGGGCACGGCTGGCCACTCTCCTTGCCAGGGACATGATGGGCACACATGCTTGGGGCAGTCCTCTCAGCTGTCCTTTTCTCTCTCTCTCTCTCACACACACACTTGCATCTGACCTTCTCTCCCTCCTGTCTCTCCCAGGCTGGGGTGACTCGGTCGGGACGCCGTCTGAGCGAGGCATGACTTACGATGCACTGCACGTGTTTGACTGGATCAAAGCCAGGAGTGGGGACAACCCTGTGTACATCTGGGGCCATTCCTTGGGCACTGGGTAAGGGTCGGCAGCAGGGCAGAAGGCGACCCTGTGCCCACCAGGTGCTCTGCATACACCTGCAACGCTTGGAGCCACAGCCTGCTCCCTTGGAAGGGGTGTACAGAGACCCCAGAGGTGACTCAAGATGAATATGCGCCACAGACAGAGGCAGATGGCCCCACACCCCGGCAAAGAGTCCTCAGGCCACAGTGGGGAGCACTGCAATGGCTGTGCGCCCCACGTTATGCGGACCTTGCTGTCTCTGTGTGTGCATGTGTGTGTGTGTGTGTGTGTGTGTGTGTGTGTGTGTGTGTGTGTGTGTGTGTGTGTGCTTGAGCGTGTAGCCCCCCTGGAGTCCACGTGTGCAGCCACCTTGGCCATCTAACCCAGGCTCAGTCCCCTGGGGGTGTGGCTGAGGATCAGCGGGCAATCCCTGAGTGCCCATGCACGGGCAGGCTGAGTTGATAGGGTCTCTTGAGGCTGTACACCCCTCACCCATTCGCAGCCGCCCTCTGCCCGACACCTTTTCCTCTGGCACAGAGGCCCTAGGTAAACACTGCTGCTCCCTGGGCACCATCCTGAGGGATGCCATGTGCAGGGGGCACGGTGCCTCTGGGATGGCCCAGCCCGGGGACTGGTGCCTCTCGGATCCCACGGCGTTTCTGAGCACACTGCTGAACAGGCGTGCTCTCCTCAACTCCCGCTCCCTCTTCCCTCCCCGCCCCCCACTCCTTTTTTTGGTTTTAAACCTAATTCATCCGAACTGTATGTTTTCTTTCTTTCCAGAGTGGCAACAAATCTGGTGCGGCGCCTGTGTGAGCGAGGTGAGGGGCCGATCAGAACCTTGTACCCGTTCGTGTTCACCCGTCCTCCCACCTCTGCCTCCTGCTATCATTGCAGTCTCCTGTAGGCTGTGGCATGGGGACCCTCCCCATGGGGTTCTCATAGCACCCGGGGAAGCTGCCCCCTTCCCCTGGCTGCTGGTGGGCAGAGGCCTGCAGGCGTGCGTTCCTGGGCTGCTCCCACACACCCTGCACTTGCCCTGGGCTGCTGGCTTCTCGACCAGCTGACTGCTGGAGACCAGCTCCAGCTGAGTTCAGAGCTCATGAAAGATGTGTGGAGTCGGTGTTTTTAAAAGAGATAAAGAGAAAAGGTGGCCCACTATAATTCTATGGTCATATTGGCCAGTGCAAGAAGGCTGTCTGCTTTATTTATACAGAAGAACTCACAAGCTTTCGCACAGACTTTTACGTCATGGCAAGTGGGTGTTTCCAAAGAGAAGTCTGCAGATTGTTCCACCTTAAAGCAGGGCATCATCCAGGCTGACCCTGCGGAACTCCTCAGCTGGCAGCGCACATTAATCACTGATACACTCCTACTGCATCTCATTCTACAACTTGTCAGTTAAAGCAGAAAATATATCAGAGGGAAAAACATCAAGATCAGAAACAAAAAACATTAAACGTAAATTCCCACTACAGCCACGGGCTTAACAACCCTTAATTAGTTTGAAAGCATGTTTTGCAATGTTAGTCCCAACATCCTTGAGTTCCTCCATCCAGAGGGTCATGGGAGCGGCCGAGACAGCATGAGTCGTTAGACGGCCACTCACCATCACGTTATTAATGACATCCGTTCCTAAGCTCACATCGGTTACAGAGAACATCTCACAAGGGCAAACAGCAGTGCATCAGCCATGCTTGGGGTAACTGAGTGTCCCTGAGGTGGTATGGAGCCAGCTGGAGGGACGTCTGCCAGCCTTGCCACACAGCTCCGTGTGCCCCAGTGTCTCAAAGGCTGGGAGGCCTCGGCTCCTGCATCTCAGCTCTGTGCCTTCCTCTGTCTCTCCAGAAACGCCTCCAGATGCCCTTATCTTGGAGTCTCCATTCACCAATATCCGTGAAGAAGCAAAGAGCCACCCGTTTTCAGTGGTGAGTACAGGCTTCCTGCAAAGTGACTTTGTCTTTCTGTGTATGTGTGATCCATGAACACTGTTTTTTCATTAATAATGTTTCTAAGTAATGTGAACTGGCTCTCAGGAAGCAGTTGCAAAATGCAAATAGTAACTACCTGAATTTTTATTAAAAACAAAACTCATAGTTCAGGCCCAGCCTGCCTCACAGGGCTAGGGCTGCCTGGAAAAGGCGCCACTCAGTGGCTGGGTGACAGGGTAGGCTGTCTGCGAGGGGCTGGGCTCACGGGCGGCCTTACCCGTGTGGCGTGGGGCCCTCTGTTCGCCCATCTCTCCGTCCATCCGTCTGTCCTGATCTCTTGTTGCTTTGTGATGCCTTTGAGAAGCCTTTATTTGTGTCTCATTTTCTCAGTTTTGCTTTTCTCTACAATTGTAAGGGAGAACTGGCTGCTCCAACCTCACCCACACACCTCTGGGCATGGTTCAGCAAGTGGGGGAGGGTTGGGCTTTTGAGCTGGACTCTGGCTGTGCTTGGGAGATGCGGGAGCAATGCCTGGGGGCAGCCCCCCCAGATGAGTTTGGAGGGCCTCCCAGGCCCAGCAAAGCAGGGTAGCAGGTGCCTCAGCATGGCTGTGCTGTTGGAGACATACATGAATCCTTAGCTGTAGACCCACCTGTGGTTCTACCTGATTCCTGAGCTGACCCTGATCCTGACCCTAACCCTGACCCTAATCTGGCCTTCATCTCCCCCTCAGATCTATCGCTACTTCCCTGCCTTTGACTGGTTCTTCCTGGATCCCATTACAAGCAGCGGGATTAAGTTTGCAAATGATGAAAAGTGAGTACTTGGTGTGAGCACTGGCAGCTTGGGATGCCGCGAGCCCCCAGGCCAGCCCTCACATGGCTGCATGGTGGAGTCCTGGGCGCCTGTGCATGTCCATGGCAGACAGCAGCAGCAAGAAGGAAGGAATCTGAGGAGAATTAGCAACACGTTAAAACGCTATGGTTTTGTCAGTCACATCAGTCTTTAAAAGAATAAAACACAAAGTGAGTACTGTGCCTCTGGAGGCCAACCTTGGTCTCGACCCTTCCAGCTAAGCCAGGTCACATGTGGATGGCATCAACCCCCACGTCCCTGTCAGGGTCAGCTGCAGGGCAGGCCGGCACATTCTGTACCAGACCCTGGGTGCTGTCCTCAGAAGCCTCTGGTTAGAGGGCCTCGCACATTAGTTCTGCCCTGTGAGGCAGGAGTACATGCCAGGCGTGACTTGCCTTGGGACCTGCCCAGGAACTGGGCATCCATGGACCACAAGCTTCCGACGGACATGCATGGACCCATCTAGGGGTGAGCCCGAAGTGGCCGTGACAGCCACCCCCCTGGCCTGCAGCTTGTCCGATTGTGTGAGCAATGGGAAACTGTTGGTGAGAGTGTCGAGGGCTCTGCGCCTTGTCCCTGGCAGTTCAGGTTCTCAGCAGCAGGGACGCCTTTGGCCCACTGCAGTGATTCAGAGTTAACCTGAAGCAGGGTGACAGAGTTAACCTCCAGTGATTCAGAGTTAACCTGAAGCAGCGTATCCCTGCTGATACGCTCCACATGTCCACGACACCTGGGGCCACGGCTCTTGTGCCCTTCACTGTTGCCTCCTGGGGTCTGCACTGGCAGGAAGCCAGAGCCTGGAGTTGGCACCATGATGGCCTGAAACCCCATGGTTGCCAGCCCTGTGGCACTGGTGGCTCCTCTGTCTGTGTGGTGCTCGCAGTGCAGGCCCCAGGTTGGCTGGCACAGATACTGAAAGTGGCTAGCCTGTGGTTTTCTGGGACTGAGAACAGCTCAGAATCTGGGCTGTCACACAGCCAGTGCGCGAGGCGCAGTCTGCACGCAGATGCCCACGGGGCCACCTGGCTCAGTTGTGCCCTCCTTCTGCAGCGTGAAGCACATCTCCTGCCCTCTGCTCATCCTGCACGCTGAGGATGACCCAGTCGTGCCCTTCCAGCTGGGCAGAAAGGTGGGTATCATGGTGGACAGGGCTGAGGGTGACCGCCGACACTGTCTGCAGGGAGCCATGAGGTGGGGGTGGCAGGCAGGGCTATGTGAATCAACTCAGAACTTCTGGATATTTTGCCTGAGAGCAGACAATGTCATGTTGTCTGTGGGGCCTCCATGCCAGCTTTTGCTGTTTTCTGGAAAGCAGGACTGGCTGTGTGGTCAGTGTGAGGTGAGCCTGTTGGAGGGGTACCAGGCCTCACCAGGTCCCGCCTGGGTCCTTAGCAAGGTGAGCCTGTTGGATGGGAGTACCAGGCTCACCAGCAGGTCCCACCTAGGGCTTGCCCACAGCTGAGCTGCATAAGGCATGCAGGACAGGGTCGTGCCCCTGCAACCCACACACCCCTGCTGCCCCAGAGCAGGAGGCCTCAGCCCACTGAGTGCGCCACACGCTCCTGTCCGTGCTGGACCTCAGCTGACCGGTGCCGCTCCTCGAGGTAGCCTGAGGGCAGAGACCAGCCTGGGGACCAAAGCTGGGGCCCAGTTCCTGGGAACAAGCCTGCAGAGCCCAGGCCCGTGGCGGCAGGAGCAGCGTGACAAGAGCTCAGCTGCACTTGCGTGTCACCCCCATCTGCCCCTGCAGCTCTACAACATCGCTGCTCCATCCCGAAGCTTCCGCGACTTCAGAGTTCAGTTTATTCCCTTCCACTCAGACCTTGGTTACCGGCACAAGTACATCTACAAGAGCCCCGAGCTCCCGCGCATCCTGAGGTGAGCGCTGGAGCTGCCTGGGGGAGTCGGGGGGCGCAGGAGCAGTCCACTACAGAGGGGCTTGGAAGAAACTTCCTCCCTGTTCTAGGCTGTTCCATGATCGGACAGGCGCAGGTCATCTGCTGTGTAGGCTCTACCCGCGTGGGTATATGCCACTGCCGCTGGATTGGCCTCACTGTCCATCCCAGGTTCTTGGGTCACCTACCCTGCACACGGGAGAACCTGGCCTTGTCCCGCCCCGCCTCACCCCACCCCACCCAAGTCTGTCCATGCTCAGCTGCTTCCGGCCAGAGGCTTGGGCAGGACCCAAGTGTTAGTGTGAAATTTCAGCAAGGGCTTGGGTACCCTAGCCCTGCCACCCACTGGCCAGCCGGCCTTGGACACCATGAGCTACCCGCTGTGCAGCGCAAGGGAGCACTGGGGGCTGCTGCACTAGAGCAGCCGGCCACGTGATAGCCAAAGTGCAGCTCCCCATAGCGTGTGGGGGGACGTGGCCCCAGCCACAGGGATGTGGCGGCAAGAGCACACGTTTGCTCTACCTCCATTCTATCTAAAAGGAACATCTACCGGCAGAGCTGGCCCAGTGCTCGGCCCCATGAGTGTGGGGTGTGGAGTGGTGGGCCTGACCGCATCTCTCCCCTGAGGGTCTGCACTGCACGGTGCGCTTCACCTGTGTCCTCCTTCTGGCCCAGGGAGTTCCTGGGGAAGTGGGAACCCGAGCGCCAGCACTGAGGCTGGCTGTGCGGAGAAAGCATGAGGACCTCCGCCCTGCCCCTTGCCCTGCGGTCAGCAGCCCGGAGCCTGGCGGCACTCAGGAGCCTGTTCCCACCACAAGAGAGGCCTGGAGGCCAGCCCACGGCTCGTGGAGGTGGCTGGAAGCACAGAACGTGAGGGGCTCTGGGTGGTCGGCATGCAGCCCCGGCCCCCTCCTGCTGCCACCACTCAGCCTGCTCTCACTGGGAAGACTTTCGGAGACACAGCAGGCAGTGTCCCTTGGCGGAGCCCACAGTGCCCGAGCCTGCCCTGGTGCCCCGGCAGGGCCAGGATAGTGGCCTGGGACCCCTGCGCAGTATGTGGAAGGTTCTTCTTGCCTTTTCCGGCACCCACGCAGTGGACTGAAGGTTCCAGAGGCGCACCCTGTCCTGCCTTCCTGCTTGCCTGCCTTGGGGGTGGGGTCCCCACTTCCCTGGACAGCCCGCTGCTCACCCACAGCCAGGGACCAGGACCCATACTTCTTCATTCCTCCCACTGTCCTCCTAACCTGGCCCTAGACTGAGCATTTATACAAGAATAAAACTGTGGTGGTGGTCTGCATGTCCTTGAGTGATGCTTGCAGCCCTGGGAGTCCCTCCTCGTCCTCAGGCGTGGACCCCAGCCTGGACCTGTGGGACCAGCCCCAGGGAGCCCCTGGCTGGTGATTCCAGTCCTGCCATTTGTGTGCAAGGCAGCCCCCCAGCTTTCAAGCCTTTTTCACCTCGCACTGGGTGCCAGTGCAGCCATGAACTGGCAGGGCCCAACAGCCAGCAGGGTACCCCCTCCGCCCCCACCCCGCCCCGCTGGCCAGCTTGAAGTCTAACGCACTGTGCCATCTGCCAGGGCGCTGCTGGAAGATGACATCAGCCCAGCGTCTCCTCAGTGGAACTAGGGTCCTGCCAGAGGCCTGCGGGTCACAGAACTGCACTTGTGCCCAGCTGCCAGACAAACCCCCACAAGGACCCTCACTGCTACGAACTGCCTACCCCAAAGCTCTGCTGGGGCAGTGGGACAAGCTTTGAGGGGCACATCTAGGGCAGCAGTGACGCCACCAGGCCCCAGCTCGGCTTCCTGCTGATGTGCATGCTGGAGGCAGCGGCTGCTGGGTCCCTGCCACCCACACGGAACTGCACCAGGAATGGATGGAAGCTCTCCCTCTGCCGAGCTTCAGCGCCCTTCCCAGTGTTTTAACAGGAACCCGAGTTGGAAGCAGCTTGGGCCAGTCGCCTCTGCCTGCCCTGATGGCTGCTTCTCTTATCCACTCCAGCCCAGGCACCAGCAACTTGCCCTGGAGGCTGCAAGATCCAGCTGTGGCCAGGACCAGAACCCAAACCCACGAGGCTCTGGGGGTGTGGGCCTGCTCCCCTCTGAAGCTGCACCTGAGTCCTGGGAGCCAGAGAGTGGAGGTCCAGAGACCCTGGGGAGTTTTCCCCCACTCAGGGCTCCCCCAACTATAGTGCATGGTGGCTGTGCAGCTGTGAGAAGAGCCTGTCAAGGGCATCACCTCAAGATGTAGCTCCATGTACAATTCACCAGCTCTGCTCCCTGGAGCCAGAAGCCACAGGTGCAGAGACCAGTAAGAGGCACAACAGAAATGCACCCGTGGTTTCACCCGCTCTGGACAGCTGGCAGTGGGCAAACCCAGCTCTGTCCCCTCAGAACTTTGTATTCTCAGCCTAGGCCCCAGTCAGAGGCAGGCACTTGGGCCCATGCCCAGAGCCTGTCCTCGTATGGGAATAGCCGGGTCTTGGGCATCAGCCTGAACCCTGAACTTCCCATCAGCTCCACAGCACCATGTGCAGAGACACAGAGGCCCATCAGCAAACCACGGGGAGAACGTTTATTGTGTTTCTCACAGGGGAAGAGCGGTGAGGGCAGAGAAGGGGGGCAGCCACAGTCAGCATCAGGAGTGTGACCCCACACATGGAGCCATTACATGGCAGCGGATGCAGGGACGCGTGCGTGTGCCCAGCATGTGCCCTCTGCAAGAACCCAGTGGCCCTGGTGGCTGGCACAGCTGGAAGGCCCTGGGGCCCCCAGGCCAGCGTGCGAGGTGGCGGGAGCCTCTGCCAGATGCCTCACCCAGGTTTTGTGAGCCCGCCTAGCCTGCTCCTGGCCCTGTCCCTTGGACAACACAGGGGCAGTGTCAGCCTCAGGACATGGCGACAGGCCCACCACCATCCTAGAGAACTTGTCCCCGCTGGTCACTGGGGCCCACAGAAGGGACGCTGACAGGAAGAACACCGGAACAGGCGGTGGAGGGGAGCGTTGGGGGCAGCAGTGGTCTGCCCCCTCCTGCCAGGCCAGAAACCAGTCAGGCAGTGTCTGCGGCTTGGAACTACTTCCATTTCGTTTTGCAAGCAGCTACCCAGGTTCATCCTGCAGCACTCAGCCTTGACCTAAACATGGCCACTAAGATGCTGGGTACTGGAACCCTGCCCAGCACCGCACCTCCCGGCCAGCCTATGTTCTAGGTGCCTGCTAAGGATGGATGGATGGCTACAAAGGCTAGGCGGCCTGGCCTGTGTGGCTGGCAGCTCAGGTGTCGGCGCAGCCACCTGCCCAGACCCAGGCTTCTAGCAGAAGGTGTGCGAGGTTGAGGGGAAGGAGCGGTGCCCAGGAGGCACCTGCCCTGCCAGGACCTTCCACGGGGCCAGGGTCTGAAGCCGTGGGGGCCACATGTGCGCCTGTCTGTGCTGTGAACTCTGCTTGGCAGGATACAGGGCAAATGCCCCCGGCTCCTCTCCTCGCCTTGCTCTTCAAAATCATCCTCCCAAGCCCGTGGCCCCTCCCAGAAACACGGTACTGTGTAGAAGGGACCGGCAGCTGCTGGCCAAGGGCCGGGAACCCCACCAGAGGAGCTGGTCCAGCCGCGTGGGGCACTAGTCCCGGGGGATGTCGGGTGGCGGGATCTGCAGGTCAGACGGCTCCACACCCCAGATCTCCCGCGCGTACTCGGTGATGGTCCGGTCACTGGAGAACTTGCCCGAGCACGCAATGTTCCTGATGACCTTCCTGGTCCACTCCTTGGGGTTCTGTGGGGAGAAAGGTGTGGCTGAGTGCATGGGGCTTCGGGCTCCAGGTGGAAGAGGAGAAAGCCTGGAAGTGAGAGCCCCTCAAGGGCCCAGTGTCCACCCAGCGCACAGACACCCAACAGGGGCACTACCAGCTGGCCATCAGCCACAGGTGCTTCCTGCCCGGGGCTTAGGCTACCCTGTAGCAGCTGGCAGCATCAGCATCTCCCAGAAGGGTTGAGATCAGAAATCCCTTGGGGTTGACCAGTTCCTGTCCTCAGCCAGTAGGACTGATCTTGACAAGACAGCTTCCCGTGGGCAGACAGGACCAGCCAGGCAGAAGTCAGACCCGCCCCCTGCCATGGGAGATGGGCACTGCGAGCCTACCTGGTACAGCTGGTCCACCTGGGCCTGGCACTGCAGGTATGCTTCGTAGTCTGCAAACACTTTGAACCTAAGAAAGGGCACAGGAGGCTGGGCAAGGACGGCAGGTGGCCATGGGGTTTCTGCGAACAGCACCCGCACTGTGGGGTCCCTATATTGGGTAACAGCTGGCTCTCACCCAACATGCTTTTAAAGAAACTGCATGCATGGGGCCCCCACCTAACCTGCCAGGGCCAGCAGCGTTCACAGGTTGGCCAATGCCACTTGTTCGGAGGAGGACAGCATCACCTACTGTCCCTGGTACTCCCAAACAGAAACACTGTAACATCCATGTTTACAGAATCCCCTTGGCACTGTTGCTGTGTCTCAACAGGCTAGTCCTTCACTCGCAAGCAATGCCATCCCGATTGGACGCCGGTTCCTGTCCTGGCTGCTTCACTTCTGATCCAGATCCCTGCTTATGGCCTGGGAAGGCAGCACAGGATGGTACAAGTCCTTGGAGCCCTACACACACAAGGGAGACCTCTCAGAGGCTCCTGGCTTCAGACTGGCTCAGCTCCGGCAGTTTTGGCCATTTGCGGAGTGAACCATATAGAGGGACTTTCTCTGTGTCTCAGCTTCTGTGAATTTCCTTTCCAAGTCTTTTTTTAAAGATCGTCCTTCCCTTGTCAGCAGGTAAACTGCCTGTGCTCATTGACTTGGCCTGACGGAAGCCAGTGACTGAAGGGGCTGCGCTCTGGAGGAGGGGTGCCAGTACCCTGGCACGGGGCTCTGCAGCGGGGGCCAGACAGTGTCCACACCGGGCAGGAGAGGCAGGGAGCACGGAGGCATTTCCGTGGGGTCCTGCTTGTGCTGTGGTAGCACACTGAATGTGTCGAGCCATTGCCATCCCCCAGGCTTCCTGGCCATCCAGTTCAGTTCCTTGCATATTTGCTGCTGGCCCCTTGCAGTCACAACTGCCCCTGGGATCTACAGCCTGCCCAGAGGTCCCTCCCCTTGCCAGGCTCCCAGATACCTTCCCCAGCCTCGTCCCAGGAGTTCCCACAGGTGGCACTGGGGACCACTGCCAAGACCTGGCTCTGTGGCCATCCCCAAAGGCAGAGGAGGAGGCGACACTGGTGCTCCCAGCCCACCTGTCATGGTACATCAACATGTCCACCACGTCCTTGAAGCAGTCTGGATCCTTGGGGGAGAAGAAGCCGCTGCGGATCTGGTCGATGGCCTGCCTCAGCTCAGGAAGGCGCTCGTAGTACTCTCTGGCCACGTAGCTGCAGAGAGAGGGCCACTCAGCACAGGGCGGGCAGCAGAGGGCTGCAGAACACCATCATGCCCTTAGGGGGTGCTGTCAGCAGTCAGGTCCACCTGCTTGTGCACGTGAAGGGAATGTGGTACACCTGCAGGTGGGAAGGCTGTCCACTGCTGGACCGGGCATCTACCTGAGGCTGCCCGGAGGCTGAGCCGCGACAGCCCTGGCTGCACCCTGAAGGTGAGGCAGACAGCAGACTGGGAAGGCGCCTGCTGCGGCCCGCTGCTTAGGAGGCAGACACAGGCTCCAGGCCCGAGGAGGGCGACTGATGGCGCTGGCTGGTGGGCATGGTCAGTCTCCCTAGGTGACAACAGGGCTTTTAGCTGATGCCAACTCCCCGTGGCTGTGAGTGGTCGGGCAACGCTGTCTGGTGTCATTAATTCTCCCTCCCAATCAGGCCAGTATCAAGACTGCTTGCCAACATCAAGGTTGTGAAGACAAGCGGAGACAGCACTCATCTGGATGAAACCAAACCACACGGGCTGCAGCCCCGGGTGCTGGTGGAGAGTGGGAATGACACCTAGTGGGGCCGCACTGGTTGGCCAGTTCTGACAAGATGCCAACAGCAGGGGACACTGGGGCCGGGCGAGATCGGAGCTCTCTGGGGCTCCTGTCCTCTCTACTGGGTCTCCAAATGTGAAATCAGACCAGTAAACTGCTCCCCAACAGTCAGCAAGCAGACCTCCGGCCACAGAAGCTGCTCTGAGCCAAGGCCCCAGCCTGCCTGGCAGTGGCTTCCCCAGCAGGGAAGCCTCAGGGCAGCAGCCTTCAGTGCCGTGGGAGCCCCAGGTCTGAGCCCTGCAGACTGGGCCGTGGATGAGCATGGGAGCACTGGAGCTTCTCCCTGGGACCCAGCTGCTCTGCGCTCCCTAGGGGCCTGGTCACCACCCCACCCCAGCACCACAGGACACAGGGGCCCTTACCCCTTCTGGTCCAGGGCCTCCACGTCCTCCACCCGCAGGCCAAAGATGAAGAGATTCTCTATGCCGGCTTCCTCGGCCATCTCCACGTTGGCACCATCCATGGTGCCGATGGTGAGTGCCCCATTGAGCATAAACTTCATGTTGCCCGTGCCCGAGGCCTCGGTGCCCGCAGTGGAGATCTGCTGAGATAGGTCTGCAGCCGGGATCACTGCAGGGCAGGAGGCGTCACTCACCAGGCATGCCCTGCACACCCACTCCATCCTCCCTCCTGGAGGGCGCACCTTGCCTGCGGGGCAAGTTCCCCAGGGCAGGATCCACCACCCTGAGGACAAGCCAGTGCTCCCCACAACCCCCCGCAGGACCAGGGCCAACAAGAGAACAGGCAGCCACCCACTCCAGCTCGGGACACGGCCACCGGCTTTATGTCCTTTCTTTGGAGCACACGGGGCAGAGGGGCCAAGGAATTCCCGAGGAAAGCCCTCCCTCTCAGGTGGCAAAGGAGCTAGAAGAGATTTGGGTCCTTCCAGGAGCAACCTGGAGATGGGACAAGCCTGGGCGACCCTTGTGGTCAGACCATAAGGGACCGTATGTGGCCAGCCAGGTCCTTCCGCTGGGACCCTGCCCAAGCGTGAGCTCCCTGCACCTGTCTCTCTGGACCAGTCAAGCTTGACAACCTGCTCGCAGCCGATCCTGAGCTCAGGCCCTGCTCAGGAGTGGGCAGGGCAAGGCCCCATGTGGCTGGAGCGGACAGGACTCCCACACTGGCAACCGGAGGAAGGGGCTGCAGAAGCAGGAGAGGGCCGGCAGCAACCCCCACACTCCTGGCCAGTGTCTTAGGCCTCTGGGAAACAAGCAAAGAGTGCACCTAGCAACTGTGGGTGGGTGGGGGGGGGAGAAGCCAGCAGGAGGGGCAGGCACGGCACTCTCCCAGGCGTGTGTCCGACCAGCAAGAAGGGGCAGGCATGGCATCTGATTGCAGAGAGGGAGCAGGCAGGCCATGGCAGGCTCGCACTGGCATGGTAGCACGGGTACTGGGCTGCAGAGCGAGTCCACCAGGGACACTGAGGAGCTGTGGGGGCCTCACACTCTGCAATCAGTGCCCCCACGTGGGCTGGCATTCAGGACATGGAGACGCCGAGTGGCTCCAGTGCCCATCCCTAGCCCCATTCATGCAGACGGCTGGAGCTACCTTTCTCGGCCAAGGATACCCGGTAGTTTTCCAGGAAGATGACCTTGAGCCGGTCGCCCACAATTGGGTCGTGATTGACGACATCCCCAATGGACGTGACTAACTTGATGATCATCTTGGCCATGTGGTAACCAGGAGCTGCCTGGAAGCAGAGGGGGTGTGAGGACTTTCCCGGTGGCCTTGGTGGTCGCCGGGGACTGTAAGAGGGGCAGCCGGGGTGCAGCGTGGGCTCCGAGGTCTTGGCTTCTGCTGCATGGTCCTTACCATCCCGCCTCCCTCACACAGCCGGCCTATCTGGCTTTGGGTTTTAGGCCTCCAGCCAGTTTTGTGGAAATAGCAAGAGACGTAGACTGCTGGAATCATGGGCTAAGCCGGAAACAGAACCCAACCACCCCGGAGGAAGCACTTGGAAAAGAGTGAACTTCTAGCCAAGGAGACAGGCAGGGCACAGCATGGTCGTGACAACGGAGACCCAGCAGCCCATCTCGCTGGACTGGTGCTGAAGCAGGTTTCAGGTGCAGGTGTCTCGGGGGAATGACGACACTGCCACAGACCTCTGCACTCCGTATTCAGAGTGTCTGCACGCACCAGGACCCCATATGGGCGCCGGTTCATGTTCTGGCTGCTCCACTTCCCATCCGGTTCCCTGCCTGTGGCCTGGGAAAGCAGTTGAGGATGGCCCAAAGCCGTGGGCTCCTGCACCCACGTGGGAAACTTGGAAGAGGCACCTGGCTCCTGGCTTATGACTGGCTCAGTTCTGGCCACTGTGGCCACTTGGTGAAAGAACTAACAGGTGGAAGATCTTTCTTTCTGTCTCTCCTTCTTTTTGTAAAATTTTCTAATAAAAATAAATAGAGCTTTAGAAAAAGTGTCTGCAGAAAGAAGTTCCTGGATCCTGGCTTTGGATCGGCACAGCACTGGCCGTTGCAGTCACTTGGGGTGTGAATCATCGGACGGAAGATCTTCCTGTCTGTCTCTCTTCCTCTCTGTATATCTGCCTTTCCAATAAAAATAATAAATAAATCTTCAAAAAACAAACAAAATTAATTAAAAATCTTAAAAAATAGAAAAAGTGTCTGGTGCAAGTCCAGGACACTGTGGGAGGCAGCAGGGTGACGGCTCAGCTGCTTGGGGTCACCGCCCCCACGTCCCAGGCCCTGGCTGCAGCCTGGTACAGCTCCAGCAGGCAGAGGCTCTCTGCTTATTTCTCAGACAAAATAGACAAAGACTAAAACAACATGGGAAAAATCTTGTAAACACAGGCAGGACAGTTGGACACCTGGCTTGAGGGCACATTTGGCGACCAGGTCTCAGGAGCCATGCATGCGCTGTGGCTCCTTTCCTGGGAGTTGGGGACCGAGGATGGGACAGGAAGGGCCATCACCAGGGATGGTCCCACAGCCTCAGGGGATGGCACAGTCTGTCCACTTCTCAACCAGGCTTGAAATTCTAACATTTCACATGTTTCCTTTCAAAACATAGGTTTAGTCAGAGTTTTACTTAAAAAAAAAAAAAAGGCAGAAACACAGAGAGATAGGCAGACAGAAAGCTTCAGCTTGCAGGTCCTCTCCCGAAACGCCCCCAAGAGGATGGAACTGAAGCCAGGAGCCAGGAACTAAGCCTAGGCCCCCAGCTGGCTGATGACAGGAACTCAGCTACGTGTGCCACCACTGTCTTGTCAGCCTCAGGTGGAGGCAGGAGCTGAAGGCAGGCCCTCTAACACAGGCCGTGCCCCCCTACCTGGGAGGAGCCTGCCCTGGCATGTCCCTCCTACCAGGCAGGACCTGCCCTCGGATGTCCGCGCCCCCCCACCTGGGCAAGGCCTGCCCTGCCACGTCCTGCCTACCTGGGCAGGGCCTGCCCTAGTCTTGTTTCTGCCCTAATCTTTTTTTTTCTTTAAGATTTTTTTTTTAATTGAAAAAGCAGTTATACAAAAAGAAGGAGAGATGGAAAGATCCTACATCCACTGGTTCACTCCCCAAGTGGCCACAATAGCAGAGACTGAGCTGATCCGAAGCCAGGAGCCTTTCCCAGGTCTCCCACGCAGGTGCAGGGTCCCAAGGCCTTGGGCCGTCCCACTGTTTTCCCAGGCTACAGGCAAGAGCTGGATGGGAAGCGGAGCCACCAGGATATGAACCGGTGCCCATATGGGATCCCCGCACATGCAAAGCCCTTACTTTAGTAACTAGGCTACTACTCTGGGCCACTGCCCTTGTCTTCTAAAGCCCCTACCTCCAGCAGGAACCCTGAAACCTGGCAATGAAGCACATGGGGTCCTGCCCAGCTTCAGCAGTAACAGGAGGGGGCAGGTGGCTGGGCAGACAGGATGAGCTGAATGTCTGCAGAGCTGAGCGGCAACGAGCCCTCCTTTGCAGGTGCCCAAGTCGGAGAGGACAGCCCTGCAGGCCAGGCCAAGGCCAGGCCTGACACCCAGGAACACTGACACCCAGGCCATGAACACACAGCCTGGCCATGTGCCCAGCTGGAGTCTGAGGACTGGCTGTGGGCAGCTGTTCCCGTGTGACCCCATAAAGAAGCTATACCCACCCGTAGGAACCCCAACGTAATGAAGACAGGATATAACCAGGCATGATGATGTGACCTGGACCCAGGAACAACGTGGAAGTAGGGCCCACCATGAATAAAAGGAAAAGAAACCAAGTGTTAAAGGGAAGCTGCCGTGTGGCTAAAGAATCATCTACTGCCAGAAGGTGGCCCTGGCCCCAGGGGCACTACAGCAGCCTCTAGGGGCTGGCTCTCAGTGCTGGGGACCCCGGGTGCACCACGGGCAGCCTGCAGCCATGCTCTAGGGGCTAGCTCTCAGTGATGAGGACCACAGGGGCACCACGGCTGCCTGCAGCCACGCCGGGGCACTGGCTCTCAGTGCTGGGGACCACGGGAAGCCTGCAGCTCTGCCCTGGGGGCTGGCTCTCAGTGCTGGGGACCCCCGGGTACACCACGGGCAGCCTGCAGCCATGCTCTAGGGGCTGACTCTCAGTGCTGAGGACCCCACTCCCATAAGCTGGCCAGGCAGATTGTCATCCCGTCCCCTCCTATTCCACTGACCCCACCAGCATCCCTACCCCCTTAGGGCAGGCCATGGCCAGCACTGTGTGCATGCTGGCTGCTGTGGCTTCCAGTGGGCTGTGCAGGTGGCTCCTGAGCCCTGGCTGCCCAGCACATGTGGGGGTAATTGTGTATCTTGGGACAAATGTTAAAAAAATTAGTGAAAAAGCAGTGAGCTCACCTTGCCCCCGATCATTACAGTTCTGGGCACAATGGCTCTGGCGGGGTCTTTCTTTATTCCTGTGGGGCAAACAGAAGAGACACAAGTAAGACCCTTAGTTAGTTATAGTCAGGGCCATCCTGCCTGGTGCCAGGGACCAATGGCTCTGCAGGCTTAGTCACTGCCAGACAGGGGGACTGCGCTGTGTTTTGGCCCATGCGGTACAGTCACAGCCACGGCTCCCTTACAGAGGTTGTCCCCTGGTCTCCTCCATGCCTGTGCACACAGCACTTGGGTTTCCAGAAAGGGCCAGCAGGAGTTACCTGCATCTGGACACCAGAATTCTAGGTTCCTGAAGGGGACAGGCACAGGCTGGGTGTGCATGTAGCTTCCTGCAGGCCAAATGCAGCACCTGCTCTGCTGGCATCAAGGGCAGGACTCAGCTCCAGGGTTACTGGGGGGCTACCCTCGGAGCCAGGGGTCTCACTAGCAGGCATGCTCCCAGGAGGTGTAAGGTGAGGCCGCCTACATGCGTGTGTCCTCCGTGAATGGCCAGGGCCTTTACCCCACCATGCTCTGCCACAGTCAGGCCAATAGTCCTGTGCCGTTCAGGACCCTCCAGCCAATTGGGAGCCCAACATGCCATTTCCTTACAAAGCACACAGCCTCAGACAGCTGGTTCCAGCGACAGAAAGCAGCTGTGGTTCCAAGTCAGTTCTGACAGCAGAGCGCCTCAACATCGTGGCTGCAGCGTCCACCCTGGGGGCGGGGGCCGCAAAATGCGGGTGGGAGGGGTGGCAGAAGCAGCCGTGGAGAAAACCCATGTGCCAGGGAAACAGGCAATGGGTCCAGCATAAGAACAGGGGAGCTAGGTGCATGCAGAGGCCCCTGGAAGGCAGGAGGGGACCCAGCTTATCCCAACAGAGCATGAGGCCAGAACGCCTCCAGGAACTGCCACTGAGCGGGCACCTGGCAGGCCCAACACAGACCTCGGGGCCTGGGAGGATCCAGGGCAGTGGGCACGGCCAAGAGGACCCAGCCAGTGGGCACAGCCAGAAGGAAAAAGGCAGCACCACACAGTAGGGCAGGAATCGGCCACAGGAATGGGCCAAGAATGCTCCCCGCGCCTCATGAGCACCCAGGAGAGAGCCAAGGCAACATTCTCTGTACATCTCAGACAACTTCCCTGCAGTCACGCGGCCAAGGGACCAAGAGTGCCTGACTGCCAAGAAAGCGACCAGCACAGCAGACGCGAGAACAGCAGTGGGAGCCAGCGGCCAGGAGACGGCGGCAGCCTGTCTGCCCAGGGCATGGAGTGTGGGCACTTGAGCGGGACAGGGGAGCCAGGGCTGGCAATTTGGGCCACACTGCCCTCACGGTGGCCACTGTAGCCCACCCTAAAGAAGCTGCACTCAGGGGATGTGGCACCCACAGCCAATGCTGGAGGATGGTGGGGCAGGCAGCAGGGGCAGCGCCTGGAAGGCAGGGCGCTACAGCAGTGTCTAAGGAGTCATGGAGGGCAGAGCAGGGCATGAAGGCAGACTCTCCACGAGGACCATGGGAGCACCCACAGAGGCCAGGCTTGCTCGGGCAGTGTACAGGGGTGCCCCCAGGAATGCACACAACGCCTCTAGGGGCAGCAGACCCCTGAATGAGTGGCTTCCCCCATGCCTCCTGCAGACACCGTAGGACAGGTCCCTGCACCAGCCAGGGCTCACTTAGTGGCCACGGTAGCCAAGTTCCTGCTGGGGGCTTCGTGTCTGGAAAAGGCTACATGGGCGACCCCCAGGTCTCCAGACTCCTCGCTGTGTGACCTGGCTTCAGACCCGAGCTGTTCTGAGGGCTTTAGTGTCTGCTTTGCAACCCTAGCAGGTGCTCCTGCTCCCCTCTGGCGGAAGAGGCTGAGGCACGTTTCTTCTGATCCACTGCCCTAAAATAACTCGTTGAGGCCACCTTTCAATGCCACAGGCGCTAGCCTGGTTTTTATAAGTACTTCCAGTGACACAGTCTACCCCAAGAAGCAGTCTCAGAGTGGTAACGACGCATTCCAAATAAAAACTCAACTCAACGGGAGACCCAGCTGGGGAGCCTGTCGGCACCCTGCCCCTGGCCAGATGTTGGAGGCCTGTGCTGCAGGCACATGGCTGCCACCGCTCAAGGCGCCTGCCCACTTGCTCCTGTGCCAATCACCAGACTCCCGGTGGCCAGCCTTCAGCCAGGTCCCCACATGCTCAGCTGGCATATGCGGGTGCACGCATGCTGGCACAGGGTGTCCAGGCTGCACCCCGCGCCCGCCCGCGCAGGCGCACTCACGGTTGTAGAGCGTGATGATGTGCAGGCAGTTGAGCAGCTGCCTCTTGTACTCATGGATCCTCTTGACGTGCACGTCAAACATGGAGGAGGGGTTGATCTTCACCTTGTACTCCTTCTCCAGCAGCGCGGAGAACTTGAGCTTGTTCTCCTGTGACAGGCAGCGGAAGGCCCCCGTGGGCTCTGGGGTCCAGAGCACCTGCTGCCTTGCTGGGAGCACTTCCCACCACCCCCAGGCCAGGAGGGAACACGCCCCATACCTGCTTGACCTTGGCCACGTCCCTGATGAAGGCCTCATCACTGACCAAGGGCAGCAGCTTCTTCAGCTGGCTCAGGTCCGTCAGGAAGGCCTCTCCGATTCGCTGCAGAAGGCAGATATGGCTCAGGTTCACTGGCCCTCCTGCCCCAGTGGCCGGCCTCGGCCCGTCCCCTGTGGGGCTGCACTGGCCCACGGGACTTGGTGGCCAGCCTCCACCTGTCCCCTGTGGGGTTGCACTGGCCCACGGGACTCGGTGGCCGGCCTCGGCCCGTCCCCCGTGGGGCTGCACTGGCCCACGGGACTTGGTGGCCGGCCTCCACCTGTCCCCTGTGGGGTTGCACTGGCCCACGGGACTCGGTGGCCGGCCTCGGCCCGTCCCCTGTGGGGCTGCACTGGCCCACGGGACTTGGTGGCCAGCCTCCACCTGTCCCCTGTGGGGTTGCACTGGCCCACAGGACTCGGTGGCCGGCCTCGGCCCGTCTCCTGTGGGGCTGCACTGGCCCACGGGACTTGGTGGCCAGCCTCCACCTGTCCCCTGTGGGGTTGCACTGGCCCACGGGACTCGGTGGCCGGCCTCCACCTGTCCCCTGTGGGGTTGCACTGGCCCACGGGACTTGGTGGCCGGCCTCCACCTGTTCCCTGTGGGGTTGCACTGGCCCACGGGACTCGGTGGCCGGCCTCCGCCCATCCCCCGTGGGGTTGCACTGGCCCACGGGACTCGGTGGCCAGCCTCGGCCCGACCCCTGTGGGGCTGCACTGGCCCACAGGACTCAGCGGTCAATGGGGCATAGCGCAGTTCTCAGCGACCTCCTGAGCCCTCCGTGGAGTAGAGCTTCTGCAGGGAGGAGCTCCCCGACCACAGAGCTTCCAGACCCCCCTTCCCCGACAGTGGCTGGGAGGAGGAGGCCAGCCTCCCTGTAGCTACCTTCAGCAGCAGGCCTGGGGCTACTGCCCAGCCTTCCTGGAGCCTGGGGGCTCTGAACCTTCTGGAAGCACCCATGGACTCACAATGCCTTGCTGTGCCGTTGGGCCCAGAGACCACTATAGCCCGATCAACGCCAGATTCCCACCGGTCTAGCCACCTGTGCACCTCCGGCTTCCTGGGGCTTCCTGGGGCTTCCTGGGGCTTCCTGGGGCTTCCGGGGGCTCAGACACGGCAGACCCAGTGCTCACCTCCACAATGACCTCTGCCAGCCCAGGGTTGCATAGCAACAGCCACCGCCGGGGCGTGATGCCGTTCGTCTTGTTCTGGAACTTCTCTGGCTCCAGCTCGTAGAAGTCCTTAAAGCTGCAAATAGAAGGTGGGGAACCGGTGAGATGCCAGGGTGAACCCGGGCAGCCAAGGGGCCCCAGGAAAACCAAGGGACGCGTGTGGTGTGTTCCTCCCTTCTCAGTAGGGCACAGAGGTGGGGGACTGCCTGCCTGCAGCGCCAGTCCACAGGAACATTTGTGTGTGGCAGTGGGATCTGGCGCTGGCTCCGACCCTCACAAGACAGACCTTCCTGTTCCCGAGAGACGTCCACGCGGGAGTGGAGCCAGGGCCAGGGCTGCAGAGCTCAAGCAACTGGGCTGTCTCCTGTCCCCAGCTCATGTGCTTCCCCATTGACCCACGTGGCCTGGGCCCTCCCAGCCTGGCTAGCATGTGGCAGTGAGGAGGGGGCGGGGACAGAATTCCTGGATCGCACCTGGCCCCTGGCTGCCAGCTGCCCCTGGTGGGCAACACAGCGCTTCAGCGTGAGCCCACGGAGCCAGCAGGGCTGCCCGGGCACACGGTGGCTGCTGAGGCAGCTCTGTCGTGCCCTCAAGGACAGCAGGTCTCAGCAAGGAGCTACACGTGTCTCCCCCCGCATCCCCACTCACACTGTGTGCTTCACGATGTCCGAGTGGATCCTGGCCACGCCGTTGACGGCGTGCGAGCCGATCACGCAGAGGTGGGCCATGTTGATGCGTTTGCAGTCCCCCTCCTCGATCACGGACATCCTCCGCAAGCGGTCCACGTCCCCGGGGAACAGGGCAGCCACATGCTGGGGTCAAAACACCGCACCGTGGGCTCCCAGGGGTCCAGCAGTGCCCAGGGGCCAGGACACGGCCCACCACACCCCCTCCAAGGAAGTCCAGGGGCTGTGGTGTCCATACCTGCTCCCAGCACCCCAAACCAGCACACGCGGCAGGAACCTAAGTCTAGAACCTTCACCACCCTCCACATGCTTCAGCCTGGCCATGGGACCTACTGGGCTGCTCCAAGAAAGATGGGAATGCCAGCAGCCTAGGGGGTGCTGCTCCAGCCGCAAGGAGCTTGGACCCACCCTGGTAACACTGGCAGCACTCAACCATACCTCACCACCACAGGATGAGAGCAACTGCAGCCGCCTCCAGGACCCTGTACCGACCACCCTAAGGGGGGTCCAGTGTCTCACATGACATGGTAATTACACACAGCCCGGAGCAGGAGGCTTAGACACAGTACCTGCAGATCATGAATAATCATACAATGCAGGCGCTAAAAATGCTAACGCCAAAACAAGTCTGCCCATGTGTGAAACACATGCAGTTCTCAAAGATGCTTTTGACCAGAGGTTGGACGAATCCATGAACGCGAACACTGCTCGGATACCCAGCTCCGGAAGCAAGCACCCCAGAATGTGCAGATAAGGAAGTGACGGACCTCTCACCACCACTCTGAACACAAGACTACCGAACTGTCACCCCTGAACCCACGGCCCTGTTCGTGCATTTCTGTCCGCTGCAGGGAGCAGGAAGAGCATACCAAGTGCCTGGCCTGACGCATCCTGCACTGCCGACACCGGGGCCCAGGGCACTGGTCTCCCTTTTCCAGCCTGGCCTGACGCGCCCTGCACTGCCGACACCGGGGCCCAGGGCACTGGTCTCCCTTCCCCAGCCTGGCCTGACGCGCCCTGCACTGCCGACACCGGGGCCCAGGGCACTGGTCTCCCTTTTCCAGCCTGGCCTGACGCGCCCTGCACTGCCGACACCGGGGCCCAGGGCACTGGTCTCCCTTCCCCAGCCTGGCCTGACGCATCCTGCACTGCCGACACCGGGGCCCAGGGCACTGGTCTCCCTTCTCCAGCCTGGCCTGACGTGCCCTGCACTGCCGACACCGGGGCCCAGGGCACTGGTCTCCAGCCTGGCCTGACACGCCCTGCACTGCCGACACCGGGGCCCAGGGCACTGGTCTCCCTTCTCCAGCCTGCTCGGCCATGGCAGCGTTTTGAAAAGACCTCAACTCCCCAACACAGAGCAGAGCTGACTCCGGGGCAAAGGGGCAGCCACAGACCCCAGGGGGCAGAGCAGCCCTCTAGCCCGCCCCACACCGGCCGGGGGACAGGCTCACGTCCAGGTGCCTCTGGTTGATGGCGTAGATGATGTCCAGGTGCCGGGGCAGCAGCTTCTCAAACATGGACACAGGCCAGCGCTCCAGGGCCTCAGGCAGCACGGTGTGGTTGGTGTACGCGCAGGTCTTCTTGGTGATTTCCCAGGCCTAGGGCATCACAGCATACCTGCGTGTTTGTCTTGTGTGGCAACAAGCAGCTCTATGCCAGAGGCCCAGGCAAGGTGAGCAGCTGTGACCACAGGCCAACAACTGCCCTCCAGCCTGCGGTCAGGGCGTTGCCCTCCGAGTCCCGCACCCTGTCCGCCTGTGTGCCCAGATAAGGAATGGTGCCGAGCGAGAGTCACTCTGAATGATTTTTGTCTAAAAGCCTTTCATTGGAAAACTAACATTAAATAAATAAATAAACCTTTCTTTGGAAAACTAACATACTGCTGAGCAGTTTTCTATTCATTTCCACATCTTTCTATGTGGTGCTGCCCTCTGCTGGCCAGGATAGGAAGCAGCCCCTTGGCTGGCTTGCACAACCGAAGACCAAGCAGGGTGCCGGGCGCGGGGCTCCCACAGGGCATAGGGCACATACTGCTCAGAGGGTTCTGCCTGTCAGGAGAGCTAAAACAAGAGCAAGAAAACTCAGCAGTCCAAACAACACAGGGCCCAAATGGTCAAGGCATGGAACAGGTCTGTAACTATGAAAACCAGATACTCTGTTAGCTTACCAATTCATGATGGGAAAAGAGATCTGAGAAGCCAAAAAGGGCATCATTGCCCTAGCCCCACATGTGCCCTGACCTTGGCTGCCTCATGCCCCGCAGCACGACTGTCCCCCAGGCTCATCCCTACCCACAACCCCTCCATCTCGGGGCTTAATGCCCAGGGCAGGGGAGGCCCCTACTCCCCAGGATTAGCTCAGCCATTCGGAATCATGGCAGGGACAGGCTGGAGGTCCAGATGCCATCATCACGTCCAGGTTCTAGGGGGGCAACCTGATCCCACAACCTGGTGCATGGAGACCACCGTCACCTCCTCACGCTCACCTTGTCCCAATCCACCTTCTCCACATCCACCAGGATCCGCATGAGCTCAGGAATGGACAGCGCTGGGTGGGTGTCGTTCAGCTGGATGGCCACCTGCAGGTCACACAGGGCCACCCTTCAGTCTCCTTGACCCCGGTGGGTGCCCATGGGGCCGACAGGAGCAGCCCCACCCCTGAGGGCCTGGAGAATTCAGAGGAGCCCTGGGGAGGGAGCCAGGCAGGTGCTGCCAGCTCGGGGCCAAGGTGTTCTCTGGGACAGGTGCGCAGCGTCTGCAGAGTACATGGGGGGAGCTGCGGGACTGGTGGTCTCCCCTCCAGGCCGACGGCCCCCTCCCAGACCCAGGATCTTTCCCCACTATGACAGCCTTGTCTAGACCGCTGAGCTCGGCCTGCCACGCACATGAAGCCTTCACCCCAGGAGCCTTTCCAATGACCTTCCTGCCTGGATCCCAACATTGCTCAGGGTGCCCCAGGACAGGATGGGGTGCCCAGGTGTGCAAGTGTCGGAGACGAGGGAACACTGAGAGGCCGTCCAGTCCAGCCCCTTCCTAGATATGAGGGAGAGCTCCAAGAATCCAAGAACTCCCACCCCACTCTCCCAGCATGCACTTGGCTCTCCCCTTCGCCCATCACTCACCTTGTCTGGGAATGTCTCAAAAGAGGTCCTCACTGGGTCCCGGCAGCCAAATTTGGACGACTTGAAGCGGCGAATGATGTCCTGGAGGGTGGCAGCTACCACAAAGTACTCCTGCTTCAGCCGGAGCTCCTTCCCCTCGAAGAACTGCAAGAACAGAGCTGCTGCACACAGGGACCTAACGCATACAGCCTGCCCGGGGCCAGGATGGGCTGGGACACACAGGGACCTAACGTGGGCCAGGATGGGCTGGGACACACAGGGACCTATTGCATACAGCCTGCCCGGGGCCAGAATAGGCTGGGACACACAGGGACCTAATGCATACAGCCTGCCAGGGGCCAGGATGGACTGGGGCACACAGAGCTGCTACGCACAGGAACCACTGGCTAGGCCCAGGTTCCCTCTCCTGGAACACCTGCAGACAGGACACAGTGTCCAGTTCCAACAGTGAAAAGGAGAGGAACACACAAGGAAGGGCACTAGAGCCACCCCCACAAAGGCCCCAGGGTGCAGGCATGGCGGACACAGACCAGAGCCACCCCCACGTGCCCCAGGGTGCACGCATGGGGGACACAGACCAGAGCCACCCGCACAGGCCCCTGGGTGCAGGCACGGGGGACACAGACCAGAGCCACCCACACAGGCCCCAGGGTACAGGCACGGGGGACACAGACCAGAGCCACCCCCACGGGCCCCAGGGTGCAGGCATGGGGGACACAGACCAGAGCCACCCCCACAGGCCCCAGGTCAGCACAGACACAGACCGAGCCCCCCAGGGCAGGTGCACGCATGGGGGACACAGACCAGAGCCACCCCCACAGGCCCCAGGATGCAGGCACAGGGGACACAGACCAGAGCCACCCCCACACATGCTTCAGAGTCAGGCATGGGGGACATTCCAGGAGAGGGCCAGAGAGGTGGTCTGTGGATTCTCCAGGCTCCTCCAAGGACAGCCACACCCCTGCCTCCCCACTACTTCCTGCCCCAGGGCCACAGCTGTGCACAAACACAAGCAAGGGGCACCCTTAATGTGGCCTCCCTTGGCAGCTTCGGCGAGGCCAGCCACAGGCACTGCCATAGCACCCCAGGCCCTCTGGCTCACTCGTGTACTTGCGTGAGGCATATGGCCTTAATAAAGCGCTACTCAACATCAGCTACTCACGTTATCATTGGGATACAGGACCCTGGAGATGTTCTCGGCCAAGTTCCTGTCCAGGACTGCCTCGATGTAGTCCCCCACATTGACTAGGATGAGAGAGGCAAGCTGCTGGGTTCAGACAGGCCTAGGCCCCTTAGGCTCAAGCCCCCAACCCCTTCCTCAGCTTGGCTGCTGTTCCTCTGCCTAGGCCCAGGAGACACAGCCTGGACAGCAGGGCTCAGAGCCAGGGGCCAGCCCCACTCACCCCTGCCCGTCCTGGGAAAACTCCAACAACACACTGTTCTTAGGGTTAAATGCAGAGCAAATGTGGCCTGAGCCCTGAAGGTGTACCAGCCCCCCACTCCACAGGGACCAAGAATGCTACAGAGTGCAAACTGGGTGAGCCCTGGGGAGCTGCCAGCCAGACGGGACACCATGGGCCTGAGCAACGTACAGTCTTTCAACTTGAAGTCGTTGGGCGCCTTGGCAGACCACAGCCTCATGGTGTTGACCGTGTTGTTCTTGTAGCCGGGCACTGGCGTGTCGTAGGGCATGGCCAGCACCACCTGCAGGGCAGATGTACCCCAGGCTGAGTCAACAGAGACCCCAGCCTTCCTCCGGGACCCCTGGGGAGGATGGGGAGGAGGGCAGGACTGGGGACATGAGCCTGTGTCCAGGGCTCTGACGGCTGAGCAGCTCCACTGAGAGCTACAATCCACATGCGGCTCCCCAGAGCCCGCCCTTCTCCCAGCACGAGGCAGCACACCCAGGGAGAGTACAGGAATCCGGGTGTAGGAGAACAGTGAGGCGCCCCCCCCGCAGCTGCTACCTCTGGAGGCTTCAAGGAAGCCACAAGGCCACCCCACGCGCCCGTGGGCCGTACCTGCGTGTCCAGCCACTTGACGCCCTCGGGGCTGTGCTCCACGCGGCCGTAGAAGTGCACAGGCAGCATGTACTCGGGCCGCGCCTTCTCCCAGGGGTTGCCATAGCGCAGCCAGTCGTCCGCCTCCTCCACCTGGAGGGGGCCAGTGGGAGCTGCGGCTTCAAGGGTGCCGGGCGGCCCTGCTGAGCCTGAGGGACCGTGGGCGAAGGTTCTGGACGCCCCGAAAGACTACCTCTCGTGAAATTCAAGAAAAACCATGGGCCCGGCAGCGTGGCCTAGCGGCTAAAGTCCTCACCTTGAACGCCCCGGGATCCCATATGGGCGCCGGTTCTAATCCCAGCAGCTCCACTTCCCATCCAGCTCCCTGCTTGTGGCCTGGGAAAGCAGTCAAGGACGGCCCAAAGCCTTGGGACCCTGCACCGTGTGGGATACCCGGAAGAAAGTTTCTGGATCCTGGCTTTGGATCGGCATAGCATCGGCTGTTGCGGTCACTTGGGGAGTGAATCATCGGACGGAAGATCTTCCTCTCTGTCTCTCCTCCTCTCTGTATATCTGACTTTCCAATAAAAATAACACCCACCTCAGGCCCCAAGACCACACACAGGCTCCACGCCTAGGAAACCCTCGCAGAATGGAGCTGAGAGGTGGCAGCCGTGGGCCAGGTGAGCACAGGTCCCCAGGGAGGCAGGGTTCAGGGGGACAGCATGGTGCTGGGCACCGCACTCTGAGCTCAGCCAAGCAGGATCCTGGAACATGCTGCAGCCTTGGAGGGCCCAGGATACACTGCAGGTGGCTTTGCCACCAGGCCTGCCTCGAAGCAGCTGCTGTTCCCAAGCCCGCACTAGGGGCCTTAAAGATGAGCAGATATGCGGGAATCACTTCACAATCAAAGCAGCCGGCAGCTGCAGAGCATGCGGGGCAGGAGCCTTGGTGCTCATCGCTGTCCAGGGAAATCTGCTCTGCTTGCATGCGACGGAATCAAGTACTCTGGCACAGCAGAATGCCAACATGCAAGGCAATCAAACTCACAGGACAGCAGGTATGGTTTCTCCACCTGGGCTATGTTTCAAACAGGTGCGTGGGCCTAGCATGCCTGGCCTTCCTGTGCCTGGCAACCAGTCACCCCATGTGTCAGGGAGCAAAGGAGAATGTGGAAAGTGGGGACAAAGCCTGGGACACCTGCTTCTCTGACTCGCAAAAGTCAAGCACCTTCTGCTTGGACACAGCCTACGTTACCCTGCGGCACTCCTGTGAAGCTCAGCTGGGCTTCTGTCTCATCCCCACAGCCCTCCTGTCACCAGAGAGAAGCTGTGTGCGAGGAGCCCACGCAGGAACCTGCTACACAGGGCCAGCACAGTTTGGGGAGCTCAGGCTGAAGGGACCTGCTGGAGGGGGCCAGCACAGCTTGGGGAGCTCAGAGCTTCAGGGTGCCCTGACTGCACCAGGGCCAGCACAGCTGGGGCAGCTCGGAGCTGCAGGGTGCCCTGACTGCACCAGGGCCAGCACAGCTGGGGCAGCTCGAAGCTGCAGGGTGCCCTGACTGCTCAGCTCCTCCTCAGAGGAGCCTGAAGTATAAACATTAGACCTGTGAGTGTCCTGTTGGTTTCTTTCTATGAGTAAGAGCTCGAAACCAGAAACCAGATCTCACCTGCCAGCCGTTGACAATTTTCTGGTTGAAAATCCCAAATTCGTACCGGATCCCATAGCCATAGGCTGCCAGGCCCAAGGTGGCCATCGAGTCCAGGAAGCAGGCTGAAAACCAAGCACAGAGCCATAGCTTGGCTACTCTGCTGCCCAAGGTCCATGAGGCCTGGGCAGGGAGCTGACAAGGACCCAAGGAGCCAAGGCCTGGCTTCGCTGATGTCCAAGGCCCACGGGACCTTGCGCTGCCAACTCAGTCGGGGTTGCCACCCCCACACGTTCTACCTAAAGCCTACGAGGTTTGAGTCAGTGGTTACACATCAGAAAGTCCTCCCACCCCACACACACTGCGGACGCAGGCACAGAAAGGGGGCTAGTGGTGTGCGCTTCCCAGCCCAGAACTTGTAAACTCTCAAGCTGCATGGAGTGCCACCAGGGTCCCTGGAAGGTGGCTGGGGCCACATGTCACCCCCTTGGCCCTTTGTTCGGATCAAACCCTAGACAAAGACAAACAAAACATGATCTGAATAAAGATCGGTAGGTGCTGGTACAAGCATAAATTAGAGTGGGTGAGGGTTGGTTGGGCTTTGCCACAGCATCAGCTGGCAGAAGCTGGCACTGGAGGCTAATTCTGTCAAGTTAAACTGCAGAACCACCTGGAGAGTGCATAATCAGGGAGTGGGAGTGGCCTGGAAGGGAAAAAGTGGCCTCCTCCCTCTTGGGTTGCCACTCCCACTGGAAGGCATGAAAACCAGGACAGGGCAGGGGTGCCTAAACAGTGAGGCACCCAACAGTTTCCGTGAGGGCTGGATAGTGGAGCTGGTTAGGTTGAACTAGGCTTCAATGCCCATTGACATGTAGGAGAGCTGAAGGGGATGTGGGACAGACTAGACTAGTCTGCTGCACATACTGGCAAGCTCGGGAACCAGGAAGTGGGCCTGGTGGGGTTATTGTGGGTCACTCTGACTAGGCTGCAGCTCCCACTGGTTTATGTGAGGCCTGAGTGTTTACTGGGCAGAATCAGGCTGGACTGCAACACTCATTGGTTCCAGTGGAAGACAGGGCTGGAAACGGAACCGACCCAGCAATTGCAACCACCAGCTGATCGGGGCGATTGTCTGTACCGGGCCCTGTACTTGCCAGTACACACAAGAACCTGGTCTGAGATCACCTCAGACAGTTTCTTTAGGGACCCCCCCCCCAATCGAACTGCAGGACTCAGAATCCTAACCATGGGGCCCAGCGGCGTGGCCTAGTGGTTAAAGTCCTCGCCTTGAACACACTGGGATCCCATATAGGTGCCGGTTCTAATCCCAGCAGCTCCATTTCCCATCCAGCTCCCTGCTTGTGGCCTGGGAAAACAGTTGACAACGGCCCGAAGCTTTGGGCCCCTGCACCCGCATGGGAGACCCGGAAGAGGTTCCTGCATCCTTGGCTTTGGATCAGCATAGCACTGGCCATTGCGCTCACTTGGGGAGTGAATCATCAGATGGAAGATCTTCCTCTCTGTCTCTCCTCCTCTCTGTATATCTGACTTTCCAATAAATAAATAAATCTTTAAAAAAAAAAAAAAAAGAATCCTAACCATGAAAAGACAAAGGACAGAACAAATCAATCAACTACCCCAGCCATGTGTTGGCAGTGAAAAACTGGGCAGAGACTCTAAGGTGGACTATGTCAGCCAGTGGATTCTGCAGCGACCTCACCGTGCTTGGAATGGCGAGACTGGCAGCAGTTCAGAACTGCTGAACTATCAAAACCACTTGAACAAGACCCTCGGAGCATGCCCAACGTCGGGGACCTGGGATGGGTGGGAGGTTGGGCGGGGATTTTCCCTTTATCTCCACATTTACCCCAGATACAGAAAAAGAAGAGAATGTGGAAATAATAGTCTTACTCAGTTTCCTATAGCCCTTGAACCTTTGTGCCCTAATTAATTATGTAAAGATTGTCAAAAAAAAAAAAAAAAAGATGACACAGTAGGTGGCCCTACAACAAAGCTCCCAGGGAGGAGGCAGGAGGAAGGCACCAGGTTCTGTGCCATCCTGCTCACCAGCCAGGGACACTAGGGGCACGAGCAGACCAAAGCCTGTGCGTCAGGCCCTCCGCTGCGGGAAGGCGGAGGGAGACCCTCCTCACGCAGCCCTGAGCAGCCCTGGCGGTGCGGCACTGCCGTGGCCGCTCACACCAGGCCACAGGCACGGCTCCGAGAGGAGAGGGCAGCGGCCCCGCCCAGACCTGGCCAGAGAATGGGCAGCGCCAAGCCCTCAGAGCGCCTGGGGACACCTCAACACCAAGGGCCAGGCATGGGGCCAGCCTCAAGGACAGGGTCGGGGCTGACTGGTTAGTCCCCCTGGGGCTGCCGAAAGGAAGACAAGAGAGCTTCCCTAGGGTTCTGGGACGGATGCTACGGATGGCACTTAGGCTGTCACCCACCAGGCTGGCATTTCATAGGAGCAGTGGTTCAAATCCCCACATCTTTACTTCCATCCCGGCTCCCTGCTAATGCAGAAGATGGCCCAGGTACTTGGACCCCTGCCACCCACATGGGAGACCCAGATGCAGTCCCAGGCTCCTGGCCGCAACCTGGCCACTGTGGCCATTTGGGAAGTGAAACTGCATGTGGAAGATCAACCTCTTTCTGCCTGTAATCTTGACTTTCAAAATAAATTTTAAAAGAAATAATACCAATTCTAGTGCCTGGCAGTGGCTCAACAGGCTAATCTACCTGTAGCACCGACACCCCATATGGGCATGGTTCAAGTCCCAGCTGCTCCACTTCCAATCTCTGTGCTTATGACAGGCCTAGGAAAGCAGTAGGATGGCTCAGTTCTTAGGATCCTGCACCCATGTGGGAAACCTAGAGGAAGCTCCTGGCTCCTGGCATCAGACTGGTTCAGCTCCAGCTATTGTGGTCATTTGGGGAGCAAACCAGCAGATGAAGGACCTCTCTCTGGCTATCCTCTCTGTAATTCTATTTTTCAAATTAAAAATAAATCTTAAAAAAAAAGTTCTACTGTCTAAAAAGAAAAAAGGCAAGCAGGAGGTTCTGCCTCCACTGAGCAGACAGCAGTGCTGGTGTGACTGACCCAACGTCCTAACGAACCTGGAGGCAGGGACAGACGGACCCTCTGTGCCTGGCCCTGGCAGGGGCCTCACCAGCCCAGCCTTGGTCTGCTAAGGTGGGGTGGGAGTGGGGAAGTGACCTGAGCTTGCATGTGAGAGAGGCACACAGAGCACACACTGACAATGGGAGGGCGAGGGGCACAGGTAACTGAGAGGGTTTCCTTCCCCATCCCCAGACAGGCACAGAGACGTGCCAGCCACCCCAGGTCCATCCCAGGCAGGCACAGTTACCTGCCAGGCGCCCCAGGTCCCCATCCCCAGACAGGCACAGGAACCTGCCAGCCACCCCAGGTCCATCCCCAGGACAGGCACAGTTACCTGCCAGCCGCCCCAGGTCCCCATCCCCAGACAGGCACAGTTACCTGCCAGCCGCCCCAGGTCCATCCCAGGATGCGCACAGGTACCTGGCAGCCACCAGGTCCCCATCCCCAGGCAGGCACAGAGACCTGCCAGCTGCCCCAGGTCCATCCCAGATGCGCACAGTTACCTGCCAGCTACCCCAGGTCCATCCCAGGCAGGCACAGTTACCTGCCAGCTGCCCCAGGTCCATCCCAGACAGGCACAGTGACCTGCCAGCCACCCCAGGTCCATCCCCAGACAGGCACAGGGACCTGCCAGCCACCCCAGGTCCCCATCCCCAGGCAGGCACAGTTACCTGCCAGTCACCCCAGGTCTATCCCAGGATGCGCACAGTTACCTGGCAGCCACCAGGTCCCCATCCCCAGGACTGGCACAGAGACCTGCCAGCTGCCCCAGGTCCATCCCCAGACAGGCACAGTTACCTGCCAGCTACCCCAGGTCCATCCCAGGCAGGCACAGTTACCTGCCAGCCGCCCCAGGTCCATCCCCAGGACAGGCACAGGGATCTGCCAGCCACCCCAGGTACATCCCCAGGACAAGCACAGTTACCTGCCAGCCGCCCCAGGTCCCCATCCCCAGGACAGGCACAGTTACCTGCCAGCCGCCCCAGGTCCATCCCCAGGACAGGCACAGTTACCTGCCAGCCGCCCCAGGTCCATCCCCAGGACAGGCACAGTTACCTGCCAGCCGCCCCAGGTCCATCCCAGACAGGCACAGTTACCTGGAAGCCACCAGGTCCCCATCCCCAGACAGGCACAGTTACCTGCCAGCCGCCCCAGGTCCATCCCAGGATACGCACCGTTACCTGGCAGCCACCAGGTCCCCATCCCCAGGACAGGCACAGTTACCTGCCAGCCGCCCCAGGTCCATCCCAGACAGGCACAGTTACCTGCCAGCCGCCCCAGTCCTCCGTTCCCAAGGCCAGCATCCTCTTCTATTTCCTCTAGCTCTTCCAAGTCCAACCCCAACTGCAAACAGAAACAAAAGTAACATGGGAATATTACTTAATAATATTTCTCAAACAAGAAGGTGAAAAAATTTAAATCCTCCGAAGCAGAGTCTATTTTAATATAAACTTGAAAAATCAGTGCTAAAATCTGATGTTAGATCAGCGCACAAAATGTAAGTTTTCAAATAAAACTGCTTCAACCATCAAACTTATTCATGGCATAAGAGCCAAAAGCATTGACTGTGAGACAGAGAGAGAGTGAAAGAGAGAGAGAGAGAAATCCTGCAGTAACTCCCCAGATGGCTGCAGTGACCAGGATGAAGCCAGGCCAGGAGCCTGGGGATTCTTCCGGGTCTCCCCGGGCGGTTGGGAGCGCCCGGGCCCTTGGGCCTTCTTCCGCTGCTTTCCCAGGTTCAGCAACAGGGAGCTGGATCAGAACTGGAGCACCTGGGACCTAGTGCTAATGTGGGATGCTGGCACGGCAGGCGGTGGTTGTACTTGCTGTACCACAGCACTGCTGCTCTCTGGCTCACACTCAGAGGACCCGATCAGCCCTAACGGGCAGGGGAAGAGGCAGCCGCGATTCAGGACCCTTAGGTAAGCTCAACACATTAGCACGCGTGGCAATCCCACCTGGAGTGAAACTGTGAGATCTGTGACTCACACTGAACTGCCAAGGCAAACCCCCTGAAGAGCTCTGGCCGTGGGGGCAGCACTCCGAGCTAGCAAACATGCCGCAGTAGTAGTATGTTCCAAATGTATGGGACCATGGGCTTAGACACAGAGGGCAGCACAGTGAAGCCAGGCCGAGTGTGGGCACGGCATGCTGGGCTCCGCTGCGTTTAACTCAGTGTTCCCTTCTAGGGCCAATGTTGCCTGGATTTTGTGAGGATTAAATAATAACAATAATCATATCAATAGATATAAAATAGAGTATCCGAGATTCTGCTAAAGTAAACCTTGAATTGAGACAGAAAAAAAAATCAGCACTATAGCCGAGATACAGTTTCAACACCCTGAAATTTGCCCTTTGAAAGTGTGCATCCCAGGGCTGGGGTTGTAGTACAGCGCGCTGAGCTGCTGCCTGCAACGCCAGCATCCCACAGGATGCGAGTTCGTGTCCTGACTGCTCCAGTTCTAATCAGCTCCCTGCTAATACATCCATGAGAAGCGTGGGAGGGTGGGCCAAGTGTTGGGGTTCCTGCACCCACAGACTGAGATGGAGCTCCCAGCTCCTGACTCAGCCTGCCCACCCCGACCATTGCAGCAATTTGGGGAGTGAACCAGCAGGTGGAAGACCCCTTCCCCGCCCCTCCATGTATCTCTCTGTGTCTGTGTCATTCTGACTTGGAAAAGAAAATTAAAATCATGAGTGCATACATGGATCTGTGCCCACAGGCGAGCCGTGAGAGGGGCGCAAAGCTGAGGACCGCAGCAGACCACAGGAAGCCCTGCCACCCCTCCCAGTCTGCCCACCAGAACCCAGTTATCAGGGTTCTCCTCCCACTCCGATGACCTCTCCCTCAAGAAGCAGGGGTCTCCCTGACCAGGCAGGGACAAGTCCCCCATTCTCAGAGGGTGGCAGGCTCGCCCTAACCCTGGCCCTGTGTGCGAGCGCCCCCTGGCGTCGGGCCCGTACCTGGTAGATGGCTTCGTCGCAGGCAGTCTGCAGGCCCAGGTTGACCATGGTGTTCTGCAGCGTGCGGCCCATGTAGAACTCCAGCGAGAGGTAATAAATGCGCTGTGGGGCACAAGAGGGTCTGAGATGCCTCGGGAAGCAGGCAGCTGGCAGCACATTCTCACAGCTCCCATGCACAGACTGCCATCCCGCACCACACAGGCACAACTCCCAGGGTCCTGTCCGGCCCCCGTGGGAACACTGCGTCTCAGCCCCCGGGGGGTTCTGGTGAGGTAGGGGAGGGCATGGGTTAGCTCTCCCTGCTGGCCAGTGGCAGCAGGGCACCAGGGCAGTCTGGCCTCCTGGCAGCTTTTGCGCTGCAGCCAGGCAGCTTTGCATGTCTCCAGCATGGGATAGAACCACTCCACCAAGCAGGAAGGGGAGCAGCAGCCCCAGAGACTGAGACGCCCGCCACCTCAAACCCGGTGCCACCTTAAATAGTTGCTTCTCCAAGGTCTTGACCTCATTAAGGCCCCCTGGTGTAAGCTTCCTGACAGCCTACTGTAAGGAGGGACCCCCCGCCCCCAGGACTGACCCCCCATCCTGGACTCAGTGTCACCTTGAATGTTATGAATGCCTGCTCCCTCTCAGCCCCCTTAAAGCCCACTTCCCTCACCAAGCTTACTGACCTTCAGGTTTAAACTGTGCACTCCAGCAACCCCTTGAGGCATGCACTCCCGGTGCCCACCTACACCGCACCTGCCAATCCCCGGGCCCACACTCCCCAGCCCCCTACCCCGAGGACATAAAAGATGCCACTCCCCTCCGTTAGTTCTCCGCTCTGCTCTCACCTTCCCCCTGCCCCACACCACCTCCCTCGCTGAAATAAAGGCCTTTTGTGTGGCTCGCTTGCTGTGTCCAGTGTCTTGGGTTTGTGGAAAAAAGCGAACACCTACAGTCCTGCTCACCAATCCCCAGGGGCACGTATCCCCCAGTGTCACTTAGAACGCATCTGCCAATCCTGATACCGCCTCTGATAAAGGTGCCTTCCCGTTGTTCCACTCTCTGTGCTCCGCCTTTTCTCTGCCCAACCCCCCGGCTACTGCTTCAGTTGGAATAAAGATCTCTTGGCGTGCATGGGTTTGTGGGGAAAACAGCTAACAGGAGGGATGTTGAAGAGTGATATGCAAAGCCCTAGGCACAAGCTCCCACACATGTGGAATACTCCAGCAGCTCAACAACTGCCGGGCGAGCATGGACACTGACGCGGGGCAGCGGCACACGGCATGTCCCTGTGGTCAGCTCAGGATGTCAGCGCTCGCTCTGTACGCACGAGGTGCTGTAAAGTGACGACGGCCAGCTACATCCCCACACCCCATGAACTGTGCCAGGAAGTTCCTGCAGCCACCTGCCGCTCACAGCGCCCACTCTTACATCTGACTCCACGCCCCGCTCCTGTTGCACCATCCAACGGTAGGTCTGGGAAAAACACGGGAGGCTGAGGTGACAAACGTTTCTCATGGAAGACTTCTAACTGGAAAAGCAAGAAGGAAGGCGAGGAAGGAAAGCCAGCCCATGCTGAGGACAGGAGCCAGTGCTGACTGCTGGAACCAGGGACACAACCTGGGCACAATCGAGGCACCTGCCCAGCCCCAGCGGGCAGCTGCCTCAGGCCTTGACCAAACGTGCGTTTTCTGTCACTCCTCACTCTGAGGATGAATTACTGTCCCTGAGGACGGGACTGCATTCAGCAACTCCCACAGCGAAAAGCCCCACGGGTCCCCGAAGACACCTGTGGCAAAGCAGGAGCCCCAGAAATGCCACAGCGAGGAGCCCCACCGGCCCTGAAGACACCTATGGCAAAGCAGCTACAGCACCAGCACCCAAGCGGGCGCCCGTCACAGTCCCGGCTGCTCTACTTCCCAGCCAGCTCCCTGCCAATGCAGTGGGAGAGCAGCAGAGGACAGCTCGAGTACTCGGCTAGAGATTTGCAGCTAGGATACATGCTCAGCACACTACCAAAAGGAACCAGCACAGGACCCAAACAGGCATTTCTCAAGGGGGAAAAAAGGTAAGCCGGGACGTGCAGGGATGTTCCACGCTGCCACCCATGAGGGACACGTCCATTAAAGTTGCAGTGAGATGCCACAGAAAGTCATCAGACAGTAGCACGGGCTGCACGAGAGGCAAGTAGAGCTTTCATATGTAGCTGAGCAGACTGCAAAAAAAAAGCGCAGCAGCTCTGCCAACTGGATTGGCAGTTCCTCAAAAAGGGAAACGCAGTTCCCAACCGGCGCAGCATGCATGCACTCACAGAACACCTACAGCTATTCAAAAACGTATATACATGGGGCTGGCACAATAGCGCAGTGTGTTAAGCTGCCACCTGCAGTGCCAACATCCTAGTTAGTGTCCCAGCTGCTCCACTTCTGGGACACAGTTCCCTGCCTATGTGCCTGGGAGAGCAGTGGAGGATGGCTCGGGTCCTGTCTCCACGTGGGAGACCTGGGAGGAGCTCCGGCTCTCTGCTACAGCCTGGCCCAGCCCTGGCTGTCACAGCCATTTGGGGATTGAACCAGTGGACGGAGGATCTATTTCTTCTCTGTAATGCTGCTTTTAAAGTAAATAAATAATTTTGAAAAAGAGAGAGACTTGCACATTATAGCCAAAAGGTAGAAACATTTCAAATGTCCATTAATGGAAATAAAAAATACGGCGCAGTCTTATAATGGAGCATCACTCAGCAATGAACAGGAACCAACTAGTAACGCTGTCACAGCGTAAATAAACCTTGGAAAGCTGGTGAACAGAAGAAGGCAGAAAGACCACATACTCTCAGTTCCACTTAGGAAGGCAACGGCCCAAATGGGCGAATGGACAAATGTAAAGAGAAAGTAGATCGTCTGGGGCCAGGGGATAGGGCTGGGCTGGAGACAGCTAAAAGGTACAGGCTTTGTTTTGGGGTGGCGGAAGGGTTTTGAAACAGATGGTTATGAGGCACGACCGTGAAGGTGCTAACGCCCTCTGCCCTGGGCGCTCTTGGTGAACTACAGTAACTGAACACGAGCTCAACACAGCTCTAACCCACAGAGCAAGCAGTGAAATGACACTTCAATAGGTCACAGGTTCCCAACTTTGATCAATGAAGTAAAATACTGGAATGAATATGCCTCTTACTCTTCCCTTAAAATTCCCAGTGTATGCATGCATTGAAATGCCACAGCATTCCAAAGAAACAGGTACACTCACTTCAAAACAAAGACATTTTAATAGAAAAGTCACTGGGTGTAAGAAAACACATGCGGAGGGCCCGGCACCGTGGCCTAGTGGCTAGAGTCCTCACCTTGAACGTGCCAGGATCCCATGTCAGCACCGGTTCTAATCCCGGCAGCTCCACTTCCCATCCAGCTCCCTACCTGTGGCCTGGGAAAGCAGTCGAGGACGGCCCAAAGCCTTGAAACCCTGCACCTGTGTGGGCGACCCGGAAGAGGTTCCTGGCTCCTGGCTTCGAACTGGCTCAGCACTGGCCATGGTGGTCACTTGGGAAGTGAATCATCGGACGGAAGATCTTCCTCTCTGTCTCTCCTCCTCTCTGTATATCTGATTTTGCAATAAAAATAAATAAATCTTAAAAAAAAAGAAAAGAAAAACAGGAAGAGAGAAATGGAAATATGGAGGAAATGCTCTCAGCATTGACCAAGGGGCAAGCAAACTTCATAAACACAGACCCGAGAAGGCGGCAGGTGAGACGCTTCTGAAGAATGTGGCCGTCAAGGGGAGAAGTACAAACATGTGAACAGAACCGCTAACTAAAGGAGGTGGCACGGGCGAAGCAGGTGCAAAACTGAAAAGGAAAATCTGAGGACACGGGCAGGCCTGGAGAGGACCAGGAGCAGTGCAGAGACGGAAGGTGAAGGACACGGGCAGCAGCTGCACAGCTGATTATCCTGGAAAAAGGTGCTAAGACTGCCTCAACGCAAAACTTAGGGAAGCTTCAGAAACGACATATACAGAAACAAACAAAAGAACAGAGCACCCCAAGTGGCCCAACAGCTAGGGCCAAGGCAGGCTACAGACCACTTCCAGGTCTCCCAAGCAGGGGGCAGAGTCCCAGGATTTGGGTCATCTTTTGTTGCTTTTCCCAGTTCAGTAGCAGGGAGCTGGACCTGAAGTGGAGCAGTCGGGACACAGTGTCCCCAGGGATGCCAACATGGCAGAGGGCGGCTTTACTCACTCCTCCACAAGGCCAGCTCACTGTATCTGGATCACTTTGAATAGAGTGGCTCCCAAAACAGTCGGCCCAATTCTGACATTTCTTATGTCATGAAGACATAAGCAAGGCTGTGAATTGGTCCTCACAGCAGCCAGAAGCACAACAGCTGTTGCTGCTGGTCAGTCCATCGCTTCTTGCCCGGTCACCTGAGCCCTTATGCCGCAGGGTTTCCCTAGCATCGGGCTGCCCCTCCTGCAGGGGAGGCCATGAGCACTGTCCGGGCAGGATTTATAAAACGTGAAAACACATCAAGTCCCCCGAGACCCCTGCAGATGAGCCAACAGTAAGAGCTAGGGCTTCGAGTGGAATCGTCTCCTTTTCTTGCTAATGGCAGTCCCTCCTGCCCACCAGGGATACACAGGCCCTCGGGGGTGACTGCTTTGTCCTGTATATACACACACAGGACAACACGGAATTTACAAGTTAGGCACAGCAACAGACTAATAACAGTTATAAAACTGCATCATGGGCCCAGCGCAGTGGCCTAGTGGCTAAAGTCCTCACCTTGAACATGTCAGGATCCCATATGGGTGCTGGTTCTAATCCTAGCAGTTCCACTTCCCACCCAGCTCCCTGCCTGTGGCCTGGGAAAGCAGTCGAGGACGGCCCAAAGCCTTGGGATCCTGCACCCGCGTGGGAGACCTGGAGAAAGTTCCTGGATCCTGGCTTCAGATTGGCTCAGCACTGGCCACTGCGGTCATTTGGGGAGTGAACCATCGGATGGAAGATCTTCCTCTCTGTCTCTCCTCCTCTCTGTATATCTGACTTTGTAATAAAAATAAATAAATCTTATTAAAAAAACAAAAAACTACACCACACAGGCAGACGCTACGAGCCAGTAGGTCAGGCC